CGAGAGGGACATCTCACCTTGATTCCTCTGATTCTGTATCAAAAGACCTGAGACAGAAAATAATAAAGTTAACTTAGTATCCTTCCAGTAGTGTTGGGACAAATCCTCCCACAGATTGAAAAAAACAAAAACACTCTTCAGTCTTTGATTTTATGGAAAATGTGCAGTTTGAACTCACCCACAGCTTTCTGTTTTTGGCACTGAAGGAAAATGGCGGATGTTGAGGAAATCCAGGAATATCTTTGGAAGAACCCCATTTTCCATAATTATAGCCTAAGAAAAAAGACAAAACAAAAGCAAATTACAATGTGCACATGAAGCAGCCGTACACAACCCAAGTGACCTCCATGACTTTTCTCTGGTGGACAGTTGGAGTTTCTTTAATCCCCGACATCTGTACTGAGTTTTTCTGTTAGTGTTGGGTAATCAGTCCCATCAGTGGGATTAAAGTGTGCTGTGTCAGAGTACCTGCAGGTAGAGCTCTAGACCATGCCTCCTCTGCTCCAAGACTTTGGGGACCCAGTTTCTAACGTGCTTTGAGGGAATCTCTGGTGGCTTTATGCTCTTCTTTAGCTGGAGGGATTCAAAAACAACATTGAAACATAAACTGTACATCACAGATCACGTAGCAGAATAAGCAAAAGTCTTTAAAAACAGAGCTGAGTCCACAACAATAGAGGTGCTATTAGCTTAATGCTAACATATCCTACATTATCAGCCTGTTAGTGAAGCCACTTTTTACTGGTTAGCGGTAAGCACAAAAACAGAAGGAGCCAGAAGGAATACACACATTTCCCTTGTACTGATCACGAAACCAAAATATCAGCGAAATTCAAATGAAACAGAATCTTGTTATAATCCACAGTGGAGATGTTGGTGGATTTCACAGGATGAGTCAAAACTTTGACTTGCTGGAGGGAAATTCAGGGTATCACCTAATTATCACCCATTATTATGGTGAATCCTGGGAACTACGAGTGTCCGTACGAAATAAAATAGCAATACATCTTGTATTTTTTTAGATGTGTAAGTCTGGACTAAAGTCGTGGACTGACATTGCCATGCAAGAAGCAAAGCTTGGAGGAATACAAATGTACAATTACAACAGATCTGCATTTTTCTCCCGCTCCTGTTTGATTTTTATTGATACATGCCCTGATTTATTCAAGGCATCTTTACTTTACCCTTGTCTCTTAATGAGTTGTGCCTGAAGATAGCCCGCTGGCTTTTCCAATCTTTAGTTTAATTCCTAATCTTCAGGAGCACCTGGACTTTTCCTGGAGTCGACCTCCTTGCAACCGTGAGCACCTGATACCCTCTTTTTTTCTACCGCCATTCAAGAAGCAAAGCTGGGATGAATAAAACATGAACAGCCCAGTATGTTCACCATAATCACAGAAGACAGACAAGGGAGTGAAGTTTGCAAACAAAACTTAAGTGGAATATTGAGCAGGACAGGAAGAGGAACTGATCTGAACAGCTACACCCTCAAATAAAAAACAAGTGCGGTGAGTGGAGTTAACCACCGTGGAGCACATCAAAATATCATGTATTATTTTGTTCATCTGGGGAGGCATTCACTGACTTTTAACAATCAATCAATGCATGTTTTGTTTTTTTAAATATCCCCTATTAATTGTCTCTAAAAGCTCAGGGTGGAATATGGAGGCCCAAAGAGGCCATAAAGTCCCATTCTGATTTTTTATTTTTGACAGAACGGTCAAAAAGCCCAAAACAATCACGAATACAATTATAACTTTAAATGATATATAATTAGCCTTTTCAACACTAAAACAATACAAGCATTTTAAAAGACAGCAGTGGAAAAGAGATCATAACATTTTAGTTCATTTGCACAAATCATGTGATGAAGCGTCTAAGGTTCAGGACTTAGAATGTGAACTCACAAGAAAGGGGAACTTTGTTAATATGAAAAGGTTTACATCTTAAGGGCAAGACCAACAACCCACCATTTTATGCAAAGCGTGGAATTCACTGTAGCGTTTCTCAACACTATGCTGTCTGCCATTCATCAGCACGTCGATCTTAAAGACCTAAAAAAGAGGAACAAGACGTTAAGTAAATCATGATCCCTCATCAGAGTCTATTGGCACAAGTGTTCCCTACCCGAGCCGCTTTAGTTCAGTTTGAGTCTAAGTCAGCGAGTTAGGAAGAGGAAATATCTGTAGCTTCTGTCAGGGATACAGTTAACGTCCTTAAACAGACTTTTACTTCCCTTACTCTGCTGGATTCTTCCCTAAAGGCTGCTGATAAGGCAAATACGGTACTTCACTGTTCTTGTCAGTATTGTGTAAAATTAGGAAATTAACTTTCAATGACGGCTGTGTGGTTAACATAATTCTTATGACGGTGGAGCAACAGACTTATTGTAACAACCTGGAAAAGTACAGCGATGAGCCAAAAACACAACAATAACATGCTGTCTAAAATGTTAGATAAAATACACAACATGAATCATTTCACATTCACATTTAACTTGAAGCAGATCTGCCCTTACGAACAACTCTAAAGAGTTTCTCTGTTTGTGTCATTGTTCACACTCACTGCCAGTACTATCCATTTAGTCACCGCAGGCTGCTGACTCAGCTTCTATGAGAGCATTTGTTAAAAGGAATTGTTCAACACCATTGATGGTTTTCTGGCCCTCTCCAGTCTGATTGAGGGATTAAAACAACCTTTCACATGTGTGTGTTAAATATGGAGCTGCTGTCTGAAGCCAGTTCTCTTTTTCCTTTTTTTATTTATTTATTTATTTTTATGTTAACTTAGCACGAAAATGAAAATAGAATGAGACATCCTGCATTTCTGGCTCCAAGAGAGAATATAAATGGATTTTTCTAAATGCCAAAATGTATATTATACAGTTTCATTTGGGAAGAAAATGGCACTTGGTCAGCACCTCATATCCTGAGATGGAGAAACTTGAAATGGGAATTATTGATGACAGACAGTTTGTGTTGACATGGGGAATGTAGAGGGTTTTTTTTTCCCCCTAATGAAAAAGCTAAAGCATGAGTTGTAGCAAATGTTGGTTACAGTGATCTATTGCTGATGTACCGATTTTTACACTAAATTTACAGGATTTCAAAGGATTTTATTTACTCCTACTTTGAACTCTCTTGAATCGTCATTTGTGTATTGACAGCCAGCTGGGGTCCATCTCTGCTCTATTAGGTGCGTGGGTTGGCAAACATGGCTTTTAGCTCTTATTAGACAGAAAAGTATAAAGTCTTACAGATTTAAACAAGTCGTAAGTCTAACTGACGAGTCAATGACTCATTTAGTAAAATAATGATATGGTTACAATGGATGAACATAAGGAGGGATCAGAGCTGAACAACCAAACACACATGAATTCAACAGTGACTTTAAATTTGCTTTGTTCGTCGGAGTGAAGAGGACAAAACCTTCTTATTCAACAGTACAGAAATAACATCTGATGACAGCAGCAGACGACAGAGACACACAGAGGTTATTATTGAGCAGCTCACCGTGTACCCTTTCTCCATCGAGTTGTTTTCTGAACGAAACGACGGGATCGACACTCTGACCGGATGCATTTTGTCCCTGAAATGTAACAGTTCACAAGGTAATTTTTGATCCTATGACACTCACACATACATGTACACACACACACACACTGCTGGTGGTTTACTCCAGTTGGCACTCCGATAAAAATCACTGAATTCAAACCGAACAAGGTAAACAGAGTCTCAGTAGAGTCCCCTGGTGGAGTGGAGGACACTGCACATGCTCAGATGGTGACATTTCGTCATGAGCAGAAACCTGATGTTCTGGAAATAATAGTAAGAAACCAAAGTTTTGATTATAAAACAAACAAATAAATACATAATCATAAATTCATATAAACCCATTGTGTAAAATAAACACAAAGTAATGTCAGGAATAAATTGTGAATCCATATATTGTGAATAACTAGAAATGTTGCAATATCATTCCTGTCACAACAATGACAAAAACGGAATTAAAATTTTAATTTTAATTTTACATAAAATTCAATTCTACAATTCTGTTTTTTTAAATTCATTTTTTATTATTTGACATGTCACCAGACAATGCCTCTGGCTCTCTGTGCTATCATTACTTAGTATTAACCATAGACCACATCATTTCTTAGATCTCCAAAAGGGCTTCTATGTATGATTTTTTCCAGATAATCACCTTCTTATGGTCAGAAGCTCACACCATTATCAGAGGGTTTAGGGGGTTAGATACTGTTCATCCCTTATCTCCATGCCGTTTGCATTTTAGGCAGTAAGCCTGAGAGTACAACTAGCCCAGTTATCTCACGCCTTTGGGCGTTAGGCGGCCTCTTGGTCAAATGACTGATACACTTTATCTGAAAGGAGCAAAAGCCAGCATGCTTCATGAAGGAGTCATGGTTGGTAGAGTACTTTGACCTGCTTAATATGAAGAGAGCAGTCAGTTTCCTAAAACACTTTGATAGGGGTCTTAGTGGGCACTGGCATATTGTGAGGAGATCTCTAGTTTGAGAGCTGTGTACTGTTTATTAAGTGTCTCTTTCAGCAGTAGCAGCTAACATTTAACAGGAAATTCAGTCAAAAGCAGGATAATTCCCTCAGTATATGATGGGGAACAAAAAAGGAGAGGCAATAAAATGTGTCTACTTCAGGTGGCCCAAAAATAGACCCTACATACATGCTTCTGTTGCTGCATATTTGCTGCATGGTGCTTTTTTATAGTCTTAAAGTAAGAGGGTTACTATGCAGATTGAAACCCATTAAAGCAGTTCCAACTCTTCTGTTGAAACTGCAACCATGTAGTGTAAACTCAGAGCCTACCTTGAATCAGTCTACTTAAAGGTCATCACTCAAATGAAACTGAACATTGCACAGCATATCCTCATCATTTGCGTTTCCTTTTTTGACGTGGTGTGTGTTTATTTTAGTCATCCAGTGGAAAAAAAACAGGACAGCGTAGCCACTTACACTGATCAGTACAATATCAATATCCAAACGTTTTTATTTGCACCAAAGCATTTGAGCAGAGCAAGTTTCTCCTGTTGCTTATAAATATAACAAATACATTTTCAATACTTTAAAATACTGATACAACTGACGTAACAATGAGGGAGAGCTGGTGTTCGGCTAGTCAAGGTTTCTACTTTTCATGAATTTGCTGGGAGAAAAATGGAGGCATACAGTACAATGGAACAAAGTAGGAAACTAAACAATATAAAGGAGATATGTGAGAGGAATATTCTTATTAGTAAGAAGAGGAAAGGATATAAAAACTGCTTTCACACACGAGATAGAAAAGTTAAACACTATCTGGCACTGTAACAGATGATTCCTACTTTTTTATTGGTATTATTATTTTTTTTTTTAGTATTTTAAATTATAACATGTTTGTCTAATCATTAAAGATTTATTTAATTATTTTGTATACGCTTTCGAATGAAGTCCTCTTCATTGTCATTCACAGAACATGCTGTGAACGACTGTCATGTCTTAATACCTGCAAAAAAAAAAAAAAAAACAGAGAAGAAAATAAAACATCGGTACTTTGACTGAGGAATATCACATAAACATTTGTCTAGTGAGATACAACACTTACTGTGACATGTGACAACCAGACACATAGGCGTAGCTGCCAGTGTAGCGAACATCACAGCGCACAACGTTGTTGCTGTAGTCACTCTCTGGGACGTGATAGTTTGGATTTACACTGATCTGTGGAGAACAACAGCAAAGAAACTATGAAGCAGTAACACATAATTTTAACATTCAAGGCTAATGAATCAATGTTAAATAAATAACGTGGAGTCTAATTGAATGTTATAAAGGCCCACAGCGAGCGCTCCTGAGCTTGTGGGAGGGTTCGATGCCTTGCTCAGGGGCTCTGGTACTTTAACTGACAACCCTCCGCTTCCCAACCTTAGACCCTACAGACTGAGCTACTGCTGCTTCTTGTATTCCATACAAGTGTAATGTTTTTCAAGAGGTTATGTGTCCCAGGAGGAAGCCAAATGTCTGGTATTTTTGACAAACCTTGAGGACGTAGTTTCCAGGTTTCACATCTGTGATGTCGATCCACTGACAGTCGATGTCTGCGTTGTAGGTATCATAACATCCTGGACTCAGACCCTGCATAATGGACAGCATCCATGTAAAACATTGTATAAACTTCTTACGGTGTAAAGGGGCAAAAACATGTTTTTATATTTGCTTCAATATTAGATTCTGTATGGGATGCAATTTTTTTTTTTTTTCATTTAAAAAAGAGAGAAACCAGAAAGGTGGGTGGTATCATCTTTCAGATATCACCCTCACAGGCTCATGCAAAAGGGAAGTGTTCAAGTTGATTTCAGAAAGACAACGTCCTCAATAACAGAGCACCTGTTTTCTTAGTTACTCTCTCTTTTATGAACAAATATCTCCAGACTAGGTCTTTCCATGAAAGAAAATAGTACTGTCCATTTTGTTCTGAACACTCTGTGCGCGAAATAAAGAGAGTCTGAGTTTTTGGGGGCTTTGCCAGAAACGTCTGCAGCAATAAAAAAAAAAAAGGATACTTAAGATGATTGTGCGCTGTCCTGGTATACTTTCGATCATTTTTTGGTTGAGGATTCAGCTCCCATATACTGTATGTTACTGTCCCTAAATAAAACAAAATTACATTAACATGTGACAGATGTAGATCTTTCTTATGATCTGGATTATGGTTTATCCATCAATATAAACTTGTATTGTACAACAGGCGCGTGATTCAAACAGACCCTCTTTACTGAGAACATTTTGTCAATGTTTGAACACAGGTGTACATGATAACAAATTATTCATGGCTGAATTGAATTTAGCAGAGTCAGGGTTCTGGTATTACACATGTTGGCTCTCTGTCATGACTAACTGAGGCGCTTTCACAGAACTGAGCAGACATTAATACATTATTAACACCAGTGCTTCTGCTGTGACTAATAAAAACCATCTGCTGGGAATAAGGCTGACTTCTCTGTCCTCAGGATGCCTGTACTATGTAAAACTGTCATGGACCATAAGTACTGCAAAAGGTGACATGAAAAACAACATGATAATGATGTGTTTGACATTCACCTGATTATTTTTCATTCATGTGGTCAACTTCAATGACAGAAAGAATAATCCAGGTACAATATATTCATTGGGAACAAAAGTGTTTGCTTTGTGGGTGTTTGGACTTTTAAACTGAAATAAAAAAGATGTTTTGGCTGGTTTGTTGTGACTGTTTTTGTTTGATATTAAATTACAGCTATCAAGTTGAATCAGAATTATTTTGACAAGCATGCTGCTCTGGTGAACAGGAGCCAGTAGGTTTCAAGTGGTAACAGTTGTTCAACTCTCTTGGTTAAGCCTGCATTAACTGACCACTAGGGGCAGGAAATCAAATTATTACCGACATTCAGGTTATATAAGGTTAATGTTGCAAACTTGTTAGCTGAAAGTGACATATTCACACAACCAGCTGACACAGAGCAACATGTTCTTTTTTTACTATAGCTGAGTCTCCGGCCAACTTCTGAATGCATGTCCAATATTCATTCCCCTTTACACTCTCTAAGTTAATATCATTTAAGAAAATCTGGCTCTAAAGCAGCTAAAGGCTCCAATACGTTTACCAGCAAAGCGTACTGTCTGGTGTTTAGCGTTAAGCAGGTAGCATAAAGCTCCCCACTGTGGCAGACAAAATGCAAATGTGAGCAGTACAGAACAGTCAAGTTTTGGCCTGTAAAACCAAAAACAAAGAGCCAAAAGGAGCTAAACCTGGAGCTCTGGAGAACTGCCAAGTCAGATGGTAAATCTCTGTGTTGGTCAAAATGAGTGATCTTTTTAAGAAACAAATACTAATGATAGATTCCTGATAACATATTATTAAGATAAGCTTCAATATCAGAAACAAAGGCATGTCAATAGTTGTATATTTGACACCTGGGTATGCGCTGTGCAGGCAAATCTGCGGTAGTAGCCATAGTCACAGGATGTGTCCTCCAGACAGAAGCTGGCCTTGTGGCCCTCGGCCACTGAATGCTGAGTGGTGGCATCCAGCAGTTCGTAGTGGCTGAACTCGTCCATGCTGTGGAAGTGCCTGTGGATCAGCAGCAACAGTGTTCAACAACATTTTTAAATCCAAACCAAGTGAGCTTGACATCAGGCGCTGTTTTTGAGATGCATTTTGTTAGATATTTTGAATCTCTGTTCAGTCAGATGACTGCTGGTCACTGTGACTCAGTACATCACAGGTTTTCATTTCATCTATCATGTTCATGTTTATACAACTGCATCTGATTTAAATATATTATCTTGATGACTATGTTTGTTTAATGCAATAGAAACAGTCTGGACTTTAACATAAAATGACTTTCAAAACACTGAATACAAAACCTATACAGTCTCATTCAACAGTCCATTGGGTCTCTGCCAGATGTGCTCTATCTTTGGCATCAGCACAGTGTCCTGGTTTATTTAACAACATAACTATGGACTGAGGTAGTTTCTGTAGAAACAGAGTAAGCTATGCAGTTTACCAAAAGCATAATAAAAGAACAAAATTACTAGACGTTTTCACTCATTACCACCATCACACATCTTGATTTCACAATGTCTAGCTTTGCAGCTGTAAATAATACAAATCTACAGGTCAAATTTAGTTCACTCACATCAAGTTTTTCAGTTTTATGCTGTGTATTGTAAAAATAAAAAAGCCTTTTAAACTAATTTAAAATGTCGGTTTGATGTGGAAATCTGTGAAAAAAACTCCAACAGAACCCAAAAGTAGCACAAATTTGACTCAGCCGGGGTAGCAGTGCCTCAAATACTGAGTATAAAAAACAAATACTGCTGTGGTGTCTTAAAAAAAAATGTTTAATGTGTAATTGGTGAACGAAATAAACACACAAATGTTGTTTTTATGTTCAATTTGTGAAGAAAATGCATGAAAGCTATCATGCAAACATCTCTAAATGATGCCAGTGAGAATAAATGATGCTCGACAACAACCCACATGTCAAAACGACTTTCTCTCCCTGCATGATGGTGAGGTGGACAGCACAGACGTGACATTATACTCACTGGTGACAACTGTGCCACTCCCAGGAGTAACGTGGCCTGCTGGGGGAGAAAATCTGCAGTCCCCTGGTTCTTCACTCTCTGAGGAAACCTCAGCAGCATACGGGTGTCGTAGTCTCTAATATCGGCTCTATAGGCGGAGCTGCCGACACAAACAAAGAGAGGGGTAAAAGTCTGCAGAAAAAAAATCAAAAACACAGGTCATATATGGACACAATGACATCACTGCGATAGTTTTTCCTGCTGCTTCCCCTCCTCCAGCTGCAGCAGATTTTCACTGTCGGTATAAATGATGGTTGGAAAAATAATTTAAAGGCAGGAGGTTGTTTGGGTTAGTGTTCAATAATGTGTTTACCATTCAGGCTTTCTCTCCTTCAGAACACTATGATTAAACTCTGCTGAAATCCACCACTCCACCCCATCAGCGGGAGGATTTGGTTAATTTGACTTCATCCCCTGGTTCCACTGCTCAGCCCTCTCACCCACAAACACTTAAGGTGGTTGTTATGGCTCAAAGCTCTCTGAATCACACACAGACTTGGCGGCAACCCCCCCCCCCGTCTCCTTTTTTTTTTTTCTGTCTCTCTCTCTTGTGGATACTGACAGCCTGACAGTCTACCTTGACAGACAGTTTTCCTCAGCCGCACATCTCAGGTTGTACATTGGGACTCTCTGGGCGTAAGCAGAGGCTTGGATGTAGTATGCGTCTGGTACCAGATCAGGCAGACCTAAATCAACAAAACAAAACAGTGGTGAGCTTAGTATGACAGTAGTTATGTTATAAATATAACGTAAAACCTAGCAGAGATGATAAAATCTATGTAAGTCACTTCATTTTTCACATACAAATATATCTTAAAGACAATGGGCAGTAATTAAACACTATTTGATTCATTTTAACTGCATATATTTTCAGCATATTTCATTTTAGAAATATACAAATGTTGTTACCTGAATAAAATTAAAATATGCAAAGAGACCACATTAAAAGTCATATCTATATCATTCATTGTTTGAAGTTGTTGTTTTGGCAGATCACTGTTTCCTCTCTTACCGTACTGATGATTCCTTGTGCCATATCCGGGTCTCGATCTCGGCCTCGGTCTCTCGTAGACGTCATAGTAATTGTAATACGGATTATCACTGTCAGTGGATTTGTAGGGGTCGTAGGGATCGTCACCCATCATCTGGTCCTCCCTCCGGGACAGAGGCTGACTGACAGTGACCTTTTCCTGGGTCTCATTGGCTCTTCTCTTCGTCTCATTGTGCCGCGCGTGCTGATGCTGGCGGTGCTCGTGCCCTCTGACGAGCCGTTGGATCGGAGGCGGGAGGCCACGGGAGCTGTGCGGGTTGGACGCCGGCCGGGGAGGCTGCTGCTGCTGGCTCGATGTGTCCGGATGTCTCGTGTCCCCATCGTGAATGATGGTTACAGGTCGCGCGTGCACTTGCTCCTGTGGCGCTCCTCTCCGCCTCGCGGGCTGATACTCCGAGCCCTGGCTCAAAATGCTAAAAATCTTGCCATTGTGTGACCATTGTAGCGTCTGCCGGAGAGCTGCTCTTTGTTGTGTCCCCGGTTCACTCTGAGACTGTGCAGGTTGCAGAATGAAAACAAAAAAACAGACGCACGCATATGCGTAAAGACGCGTGCCAAATTTGCGTAATCCCATTATGAACTAAATTCAAGCAGACTGAATGTAACTAAAGTAATATTTAAAATGAGCCGGGGTCTCCAGTTGTCTTTCACTCAAAAATCCCTCATCTCTATTTGAAGGATTTTCAGAGAGCAGAGAAGAAAAGCTAACTTTGGATGTATCCGTGTAAACTCATATCGCTCTGCTCCTGCAGCCTGCAGATGCGTCCAGTGAGATGATGATGATGGGGGAGGAGGAGGAGTTCAACTTTTGGAGTTTCTGAATCTGTTACACAAGTCTACTGCTGGTGCTCATATAACCATTGGAGGGATACACGATGTCTCATCATGCCCAGCCGAGTATGTTTGATAACTGCTCACGCTGACCCCTCTGACCACTTGAAAGATGGTCAGTGTGTCATCAAGCAGCAGTGAAACGTCTAAGAACACATTTTAGGTCCTAACATAGACATACCAATTACATGCAAACCTTCTTGCAAAACCAATCCCACAGAATAAATGACCCACAAACTACTGTATATTTCCTTCATATCTTCACTTTCTTTCAGATCAACAGTGTCGTGATAAATGGCCTTTCCCTTGACTGTTGGATGAACTCCTGACCAAATTGCAACACACTTTTCCAGACGCCTCTACTCTCCACATTCTCAGAGGACGATCTCTAAAATCTAAACATGACTCTTTGATGGCCCTGCAACATTAAACATCTCCCACAAACCTCTTCTGACTGATTTGTAGATTTGCTGACAACTTGAAAGTCTCATCACATGTATTATAGTATGTCGACCCCACACTCCCACCCTGAGAAGTCATTTGCTGCAGCCACTGCAATCACTGCCCTTCTGCTGTTAACACCCCTGCTTTAATGCATAGCTTGGGAAACTTAATCCAAGGTTTGCATTTTCTTCAGTCCAACAAACCGGGAAATTCTTTCTTGTATCTACACAACCAACCGCAGAAAGACTGCTGCTAAACCTCAGCAAATGGTCACAAGGGTTTTACAGTTTCTTAAATCACAAAGTTCTATAAAAGCATGAGAGTTCAGCCAAGTGATTTACAAGAAAAAATCAAATGACCTGAAGTCCAGATGCAACAAATATTGTGCTCCACTGGCTCTGAGACTTAATTCCAAATAAAGCTACAGATGTAGGACCAACTAATATAAAAGTTCCTTAAGAACAATTTAAAGATCAACTAGTGTTCTACTTTTCATAACAAGGGAGCAGTTGACAGCAATTAATTTGAGAGTTTTCTTATTAGCGCAGAGGTTATTGTTTAGGAAAAGGGAAACATAGTATCACCCTAGTCAATCTCCCTCTTGTATAATTTCTTCAGATAGTGTTTCTTGAGAATCACATACTGTGAAAGCAAAGCAAAAGTAACTGGTGTAGTACCCGAGCAAAACACTGAAGGGATTCATGTCACTTTGCACATTGGTTTTATAATGACAGTCATATAACTTCAGAAGCTTGGGGCTGAAGGCCTTGTTTGGAAGCACTGTATTGATTACAATGAAGGGATGGCTGAGCACTTTTGCTGTTGGTTCTCTGGTTGACATTGGAAAACATCCAGCCTGTAATGGTTAAAGAAATAATTTAAAAATTTGGGGAAATCTGAAAAGTTGTTTTTTTGGCCGAGAGTTGGATAAGGAGATTGATATCACTCATGCAGATGGTATCAATCTTCTCTCTAACTCAGCGCCAGTGAGTCAATTGCCGGATTTCCCAAAATACCAAACAATATGTTGTGGAAAACTATAGCCCAAAAGCTAGTCAAATTAAAATACGCCCCCTCCACACCTTTCAAAAGTCACAATTGAGGAGCTGACTCCAAAAATGTCTTCAACTATTTCTAATTTATGATTCGACATCCACTACCATCCTACACATTGATAAGCTAACCATACAGATGTGTGAAAGTAGGTAGGGATTTAACTTTTGTCACTCTCTTTAAAAAACTCTGTCACTTCTTGCATGTGTGTACAAGAGCAACACCATGACAACTATGAAGACAAACTGAGCAGACGTGTGTGCCCTTATCCTCATTTGAACAATTCTCACGTGTAACTACTCTCCATAACGATTGCCTTAGCCTCATGTTTAAGTGTGGTCGTCCACAACAGCTTTAAATACTTTTGTTTCAGCTGTGGTCGGATGACGTGCCAAATAAACTATTTTCAGCACCTCCAAAAAGTTTGGGAAACATACATCCTCAATCACTACTACGAGTGATGACATCCTAAAAAAGACAATTTATTGTTTTGTCTGTGGGTTTGGCCAAGTTTGACTTATTTCATTTGAAAGAGTACTAGTTGATGTGCAGTATTTATTTGCCGCTTTCATTTATGCTTAATGTATTAAAGACGCATTCGCAATCTCAGTTTTTCTATATGTCTGCAGTTATACGCATTAAAGGGTAAAGAGTTTGGCTGTGATGTAATGCTTGCCAATGATCTGAATCCTTCAAACAGCTCTTTGTTATGAATGAATCAAATGTCAATTACCCTCCTGTTGTCACACACACTAGTTCAGTTGGTTGTAACGTCATCTCTAAGCTGGTTTTCCATTTCTCAAGAAGAAGAAATCTGACAGAAGCTGTTCGTTTTCATCAATGTTGCGTTTATAAAATGTCCCCCTAGCTCTTCAATAAATACAGAAAGCTGTAAACCATTTCACGGTCTCTTTCTCGGGGACAAACCAAAGCTTGGGGATGTTCCCCACGATGACTCCACTTACTCACCAATAAACTGTGGTCGTCAAACATATCTCACATTGTCCAATTTAACAGGCAACACTAGCATTTCTTACAACAACCAGCTTGAAGTACAAGGGCTTACAAGGCCCACTTGAAAGATGTTGTAAGATTTTTACATCGATTTTCCAAACTTTGCAGAGTGCTTCAGAGTTTTGTTGTTAGCAAAGTTTTTCTCACCATGGGCCTGTACTTGAGTTCTAACAGATGGGTTGTTCTCATTTGCTCTCTGAAAAAGCCTATTCTTCTTGTATTTGAATGCTTTATGTTGAACCCCATGTTTCTTGATAGTTTTTTCCCTCCATGCTTTTGTTTAGCATACTTTGCACATTACTCCTGCCTGTTGTAAGTTTGGAGCTACAAGTGACGATATTTGATAACAGGGTGCATTATGCTTGCTATGCCTCCAATCTCAAAAACTATTTGCCTCTTACTGCAAATCATTTGGGGCTTCCTGTATAGCCAGCGCTTATTCAGATAAGGAATAGAGGATATATAGTCCAATACTATCTTTTCCATGCAGACGTTATTGTTTACAGGCTGACTAGCAATTTAAGAGGCCAGAATTAATCGTTGAGTTGATCGATGACATCTACAATCAAAATTGTTCTGTGCATTAATATGCTAATTTCTGTTTATAGAGATTTATAAAAAAACAGATTTTCTTAAAGATGATTGCCTGTGGTTCATGGTAGGGTTGTTGAATTCGACCTGTTTTACTCTCCATCGGGACTGTTTTCCTGCATACAACCAATTCTGGCAAAATTGCTAGTGGACAATACAGCTGTGACTACAAAAAAAAAAAAAACTAGCACTCTTGCTTGTCCTTCCTCTCCAGATTCCGTATTCATCTGCAGAATCTGATTACACATAGACTGCCATGCCTCTATCAGGGTTACAGGCTGCCATGATAGTAACATGTCAATGACGGGATGCGGTACCCTCAAGCACACCCTGATTTTTTTTCTCCCTCTGTCCCTTTTGGGACAATGATTTACACATATTTTAGTTTACAACTAAAAGTGTATCTCCCTGCTGGCCGCTGGACAGATAGCATGCTAAATGACTTTTTAAACAAGCGGCTACTTCCACATCCTATATTTAGACAGAAAATCAATATTTTTCAAAACTATAAAGATAAAAGGTAAAATAAGAGAAATGGGCAATCCAAAAATACTTTCATGTCTGACAATGACTTCTCTTTGAATTGTAAAGCAAACAGATGAAATAATGCTGTAAATTACAGTTAACCCATCATATTGTTCTTGGATAACGAAGGGCACACGTTATCTCACAGTCACATGGTTTAATTTTTAGACCTGTGTAAGCAGTGAGGGGAATCAGAGCCAGGTGGAGTTATATGAGCTTCTGAAAAGGTATCGTCCTCGACTCTGTAATAGTCAAAACATCTGCGAGAGGTTGTCTGCTCCGAGTTGCCAACTGTGTAGAATTTATTTAATACGGAGGAGGATTAGGGCCAATGGGAAATAAATAATGAGTGGAGTAAGATGTGTTGTCATTATGTACTTCAAGAAAAAAATCAGAAATGTTGAGTAAAAAGTTGGGAAAAAATTGAATACCATTTCGAGATAATTTTTTTACTACTACTACTTTATTCTCGACATGTTTTTTTCTCAATATTTTGTTTTTTTTCCCCAAGATTTCAACTTTTTTAATTGATGTTTGAACTTTTTTTTCCTTAATATTTAGACTTTTCTCTTGAAGTGCATAATTAAAAACAATCTTCTCCTTTATCAATATTTATTTCACCTATCTGTCCCTAATCCTTTTCCGTAGTTATAAGTATAAAACAGCTATGCATGCACTTTTTATGGCAAAAATCTGATTGTGTTTTTGATTTGAAAATGACTAACATACACTCTTGTGATTCTGCATACCAAAACTTCCTCAAGGGAGTGGAAACTATGTGTGTTAACTCCTGGGTCGACACTTTTCTTTTTCTTCCCTGGAAACCCAGACAGGCAGTCAGGACCAGCTGTACTGGGTCACTGATGTTTTTCACTCGTAATTTATCAAACTCTCTTCATGCCGAGTCCTTTTTCTCTCCAGCGAGGGCAGCACAGCGTTCCCTTGCACAGCTCAAAGACACATCTGCAAAGAATTAGCCAAGTTCTTTTGTCCACGTTGCTGGAATTCACCCCTATTCCTGACTCAATCGAGCTAAAAGAATTTGAATACATCAACGTCCTAGTTGGAGAATAAGGAGGGAAAGTTATGACGAGGCCTCCTGCATGAGACTTGTCATTGAGTCAAGAGGGAAAATTTTAAGTTTCTTGTCCGGTCATGATACTAAATTTACCATAAAACAAACACCAATTTCTTCAGTGCAGCCGCTGAGACAACATCTGACAGTCTTTCTCTATTTTGCTTGAGACATGAAGCCTACTTTTAAGCATTTTAAATTCTCTGTCTACATTGTCTGAAGATGGGTATTTTATTGAAGACGTTTTTATCTGCAGCTGTCTTTGTTTTAATTTTTTTTCAAAGTCCTTCAAAACCTGCCAGAAATCTAGCCTTAGAAATGGTGCCCCCCATCCCCCCCCCCTTTTTGCATTTAATTATTCATTTTCATGTAATCATTATGACCTCATCAGAGTGACACCACACATCATTTTAAAATCCTGCTTTCACTATTCCATTCCCAGGTCTGTTATCCTTTTACTTAAAACCCACACGTTTTATTCCATAACATCTCTGCTCCTGTTGAATTACTTTATACTCTTAGATTTAAACTCTTGTCTTTCTTCTCTGCTAGGTTTTCCCTCCACCCTCCCATTTCCAAAACTCAGCCTATTCAAATAAGGTCAAGTTCAGCTCAAAATCCTACGACAGAAACAGACGATCTAAAATCACTCTTCTCTTTCATAAATACTGGGTTTCCATTTCACTTGCAGCACCGAGTAGGGTTGCACAACTCACACACACACACGTCTGGTGGACTACGTGGCACTCTGCACATGCACAATGTTCTCTACAACCAGGAGGAGGAGTGCTTTATCAAGACACAGGCCAGAAAATGTTTCTTTGTGCCATGATTCATGATGATATCTTTTACTCCCTGTATTTTCTCTTAGTGCAGAACAACATAAATGCAAGCTGAAATCCCAGTGATAAAGAGAAGTATTTGCTTTGTTTGGCTTTTGATATATTATTTATTTCCAGGATTGATTTAAACAGCTCTCTATTTGAAGAGACAACAACAGAGTAAATGTTGGTGTAACTATGGACATAAATCACACTCCAGGGCAGGGAATTAAAAGGGATGTTGAGATATCACTGATGGTAGTTGTAAACATGTCACAGTTAGCAAGTGAAAATCAGTAGCTGGTTTTATGGTCACTTGGCTGCAGAGGAGATACGCTGTGAACACACTGACACATTATCACCATAAGCCTTCTGAAAGGAGTTTTAACTGTATGAGCTACCTGTTATTCTAATAACCATATGACCTACAAAATATCAGAATATCAGGAAGAAAAATATTTACCTTTGGGTTTTTTTAATGTATGTTTTCACTGTCATTACTTCAATTTCTACCAAAGCAATTTATGTCTTTGATGGAAGACTTTCTTTAGGTTGTTTCACAGTCTGACTAGCTAAGATGGTCATTTGTCAAGATTCACAAGATTCTCCCTGTTATAGATTTGTATTAAGCAGCATTTTAGCCAAAAGTAGCCTAAGATTTTCCTTCAGGGAATACGCATGCAGGCACAGATACAAGATGAACAGAGATAAAAGCAGAGAGTTGACTGAGGAAAGGACAGTTAAATTGTCAGAAATGCAAATACACAAGTCAACACAATTAATGGTAAACACCCTTTATTAGCTCTTTCAAAATGACAAGTCCATGTAATTTATGAAACACACTGAGAGGTGTGGCTGTGTCATTATAACAGTAAAACTTAAGGAGTATGATGTTATATTCACGTCAAACATGCTTGTTAAAGTTTAGGCTTTAACAAGCATGTTCATCACTAAGACATGATGCAAGAATGTTAATGGCTTTGTCAACCAAACTCAAATTACATAGCGACAAAATCTGAGAGAAATAAAGCATCTATTCACCTAGATGTGGTATCTACCATACTGCGATATAGTTTAGGCTTCAAAGTCTCATCCTTGTAATATTACAGTAATTCATCTTAAACAGTCAAAAAAGACAAATGACCTCATCACTGAGTTCCACTTTAGCTTCTCTAGCTTCAAATCATTTGAGAAATATAATTTATAATTTAATTGTCAGAAAATTGTTAGATAAAACTATCTTAATCCATGCTCATACGTTTGCGAGTGAGTTTTATTTATAAGTTTTAAGTGTTAGAGGTGAAGTTGTGTCACTATTGGACAGAGCCAGCTAGCTGTTTCTTTTTTCTCTGCTAAGCTCATCTAAGCTAACCTAGCTGCTAGCTGTACTTTAGCTTCATATGTACAGATAACAAGGTGGGAGGCACTAGCAGGGGTAAACACTGTCCTCAGTCAGTAAGGTCTTGGGTTTAAACACATACCTTCTACCATATACCATCTGGCCTCAAGTGCACCTTAGTAATGAAAACAATAAAAGTTAAACTGATGAAGATAACAAATCAAGGAATTCAAGTTTGTTTGCAAGTAAACGTAACTGCTTTTTATCTCTTGTCAAATAAATCTGACTTCTCAGGTAACTTTATGACCATGCAACAGAAAGAAGAAGAAAAAAAGTTTTTTTTCCCCCTGGGTAAAGAAAGGTTACTTAAGAACAAAAAGTGGGAAAACTGTGGCTTTCAAGCACATACATTTTTTCAGATGCTGCAAAGGCCTTGTATTCAAACTGGCCGATTATGCCATTACGTGACTCACACATTTAGACTTAAAAAGAAGGATGGCTCCATCTACAGGAGCTAACATTGCATAGAATAGATTTTTACAGATGATTGCACTTTGTCCTGTGTTCTTCCATTTAGATAACTTAAATCAATATAAGGAAAAACTAACTGAGCTACTTTTTCCACTGTTTAGGTTTGAATACAAAGTGCAAACCTGAATCCTCATATCTGAGAATTCAACATTAAGTAGTGAATTAAAAACATAGATAACTAGTTGTAACATCAACGGATCATTGGTACAACTGTTGTTTATGATGTGCAACAAGCTTCACTCACATTTTCACTTTCATTTCCAACTTCAACATCACCTGAAGAACAGGTTTTTTTTTTTTTGATAAACAGGTTCTTCATTTAGAAATCTTTTTTACTTCTGTGATTCACGAGATATCCATGAAATAATTCATGATTTGTCAATAAGAACAGTACAAAAAGACATTCAATGCGGCTAAGTTTATTTATTGAATGCAAAATATAGATACATAAAAAGTAACAAAATGATAGCCTCACAGTCAAAGCACAACATAGCATTTAAACGCATGCTTAAATTTCATCAGTGCATTATATAATCATTATAATACTGGCCAGTCCACCATTAGCTAGCCCACTACTAGTCCACCATTTGGCACTGATGAAACTTTTGCTCTGACAGACTGCATGCTGTAACAGGGTTAACTAATTGTTTTGCAATCATACTTCATGTTCATTAGGCTTCTGCATGAAAAATTGAAATTTGTTAATTGAGTCAAGAGGGAAAATTTAATCAGAAGAATGTAAAACATGTACAGCACTGTTGTATGTTGTGCCTAAGTCTGCGCCATGGCAGGAAAAGACAAGTTAGACGCTATTTAATAATTTATATTTGATATAACATGATTATTTGTGCGTGAAGTTCAGTGCAAAAGGTGAAGTTGTGAAAAGACATCCCAAAAGCAGAAAGAACAAAGGTGCGTTAGAGGGTTTAGCCTGGAGAAGACCGTTTGCTTTACACAGCGAAGACCATGTGTCCTGAGAAGTAGCTTTTGGTGCTCAGGCCACTGATCCCAGCTTTTGACTCCACCCACACTTTGTCTCCCACCTCCAGCTGGAGCACCGTGTCCCCTGATGCCATAAGCCGACCTCCCTGATGGAAGGGGTAACTATGCAGTACCACATTGTTGTTACACCACAGGTCCATGCTTTTTGCACTGCTGTAGGACATGCAGACAAAGCTGAACTGATAGACACCGGGGATGACACATGTAAACATCCCCGTCTGCGCGCTGTAATGGTTCTGTTCATTGTAGATGATGTGATGGAAGTGAATAATTTTCTCTGAAGTTGAGCTGTACTTGCCCAGGAGGACGGAGAAAGCAGATTGTGGCTGTGAAGCATTAATGTTGAGTGCTATCTGTCCTGGGGGGCCTCTGGGGCCAGGGGGTCCTACTGGACCTACAGAGATACACAAATATCGATTTATTCAAAATGTTGTATTTAGGCACAGCCTGTTGTCGGCTTGTATAAATCATATTTTCAGCTTTATATCAACTTTAATGAGATGCATTTCTAAACTACTACTATGTTTTGAGTTGTCCAAATGTGGCAACTAAATTAGCAAATTCACTCAAATATCTACAGTCTTTTTTTTTAATTGCTTAAAGCTTCTTTGACAAACTTTAGGTATGTGTTGATTTTTTGTGCCCCCTGTTGACAAAGCTGTACCTCTTACCTCTTTGCTGAATTTGTCCTGTACATGTGTTTAGTTTAGTTTAGTTTCTTTAATTTAACTGTCAAATATATTACTTACCTGCCCCGCGGCACAGTTTCAGACATTAAATATTACTATAGACATAGTCTAATTTGTAGCTTGGATAGAGGCGTCAATAGTCATATCAGGCTCCTTCATAACTAGCTTAGAACTCCTCCCAGAATCTTTGACGAATACGTTGTAGTCAGTGACTTGTTGTGGGTCAGTATGTGTTAAAATGGCATATTGTTAAAAACATGTCAAAACAGGCATGAAAATAATATTAAGATTAAGTACCTTGTTGTCCTCGGGGCCCTCTTGGTCCAGGGTCTCTTGGTCCTCGCTCACATTCTGTATATGAAGGAAATATAGAAGTTAAATATTGTTGGGCTTTGTTATCGACATATATTTTTTTTAAATGTTCTTGTATTTGATGACCACTGTCACCAAGGTGACAAAATGTTAAATACAAGAGGTATTAAATTTAAATGTGCACTTTTTAAAGAAGGTGGGGTTACATTGTGCTCTTAAAGTGTGAAAACTACTTGTTAGTATTTAAAACCGACCTCTTTTGAATTGACTTCATTACAGCCACCATCAGCGCCTGTAAGATTAAACACCACACATGAAGAACAATATCCATACAAGGGGTTAGAAAAGAAATAAAACACACCAGGTTAAAAAAACACAGTGGGTGACAAATTATTGTGAAAATGGTGCTCCCCTCCCGAAGTCAAAAAGTCTTGTGCTGTGCTGTTTCACCTGTGCAGCGCTCTCTCCAGGCCGACAGGTTCAGAGTCGGAAGTGCTGAGCAGTTAACACGTCGGTTCCTGCGTGATTCCACCTGGAACGGGTCAGTGGGGATCGTTGTGATTCCAGTGTTGTCACAAATGATCTTTGCTAATGAAGCTCTGGACAGAGCAGCTCTCTGTCTCGGTGTGAAGACACCTGGGTTCTCGTACCAAAGTCTGATTGTTTCAGCAAGAGAAACAGAAGAAGAGATAAGTGCACAGTGACTTCATTTGAAATGCACATATTTTTGAGATTTGTTTTCAGTCTGCAGATCGCACTTGATACAGCATGTCAGTCAGAAATGGTTAAGCTTGAAATTGTGTTTATTGGACTGGTCAAAGTGGTGCCTTAAGATAGTACCACACATGCACATGTACTCACCTGTCACCTTGGCGGATCTTCTTGAACTGTTGTGCAATGAGGCAGGCAAACAAAGGTCCAACACGACCACCGCGCACAAATGGCTCTGCCACACCTCCCAGCCAGATATCAATGTTTTCAGGTGTACCATAGAGCTCCAGCAGCCTCCTGGCCAGGTCAGTGTTGTTCAGAACCTGAGCAAGTTGTGCCTGGTTTGTGGGCGCTGACAGGCCGCAGAACCTTCGCCACGAGTTGTAGCCTAGAGGAGTTGATGCAAAAAGCAGGGAATTGATGAGGACTGTAAAGAAAGACGAAATATTAAAACGGAAATTTAAAATGCAGAAAACTACGGGAGGAATGTACCAGGCAAGCCATGGTCACGTCCCCTCTCCATGTTGAGAGAACCCAGGTCCAGAGCCAGATGCTGCACAAACTGGAACAGCCTCTCCCTCAGAGCGTTGACCAACATGTGATCCTGAGTGTTTAGTTTAGCAGGGCGTCCAACCAAACCACGGAGCAGAGGGTCAATGCCACCTAGAGAGAGAGAGAGAGAGAGAGAGAGAGAAGTCAAATTAGGGTGACCGTAAAGAACAGAGGTGAATTATATGTTAGAAACTTCTCTCTGGATAGCTCACCCTCAAAGACGATTCTCCAGGGGGCGAAGAAGGCCTGGAACAGAGGAACACTGCGGAACTGAGGGTTCTCCCTGTAGTTTGCATCAAGACGAGCCAGGACTGGCTGGATGGCCAAGTGGGCAAAGCGGTAAGCGGCTGTTGCAAAGACGTTGGCGATGCTGGGGTCAACATTGGGATTGTAGCCGGGGTAGCGGCCGAGCTGTGTGGCCATTGCTCTGTCGCCCACAATGTGTGGCAGGTAGTCCCTGAACACAAACACCTGAGTAGGACAGAGAGATTTATTTCAGTAAGTGTGCACTCACACTTGGTAAAGTTGGCGCTCATACTGTGTGCCCATGCTTGTGCATGAACTGTACCGTGCCGAAGCACACCTCTTCCAAGCGTACCAACGCCGTACTTAAACACGGATCGGTGCACTCAAACTAGTGACTAGTCAAACGAACTGGACTTAAGGGGTGAAGTGCGCTTGGGCAGGGTACGGATTGCCTAGTGTGAGTGCACCCTAAAAGACGATAGGCTGTAAGACCCATGTCCAGACGACTGACTCTATTATTTACCTGCGTGTAGGCACCCATAATCTTGCGGGCCTCTTGGTAGAGGGTCTCACTGTCCCACTGTGGGTTCAAACGCTTTAGCTGACGAGCCAGGCGGTTATGCTCCCGCATGAACAGTGTGTGAATAGAAGTCAGAGCGATGTTCTCATCAACGCGGACGTCACCTAACAGACAGAATTGTTCAGGTTAAGAAGTTGTTCAGAGGAGTTAATCCTTACTTTGGATTCATAATCAACTTAACTTGTTAATACAGATAAATCATTTATTCATGCTTTATATAGCTGTAGTTCAACTCCTTAGACCCTGAATGTCCTGACAAAAAAAAAAAAACAATGACATCAACAGTAATTTTTAAAAAGTTCCTAAATAGCAATGTGCTTTGATGAAATTGGTCTGTAGTGTTACATTTTCTGTTATTCAGGCAGCAGGCTTTGGGCTAGAATAAGATCAACAACAGGATTTCACAGCCTGGTCAAACAAAATTCTTATTATTCAAAAGTGGTTCAATACTGATTGTAAAAACATTTTTAAAAAACATTTACAAACCATTTACGCATTTTTATGTTCAAGTGACGTTGCATGGTGATGTACCTGCAAGGAAACAGGGCACCTCTCTGGCGTTGGCGTTGTTGGTGACGTTTCTACGAGTGGCGCACATGTTCTCCTCTAGAGTGTGGAAGGGCAGCAGCTCCCGGCCGTTATCTCTGAACTCTGTGTTCACCCGCAGCAGACCGTCATCGCTGCTGAGGTTGCGAAGATTTAATGCAAGATTCTCCTCAGAGCCGTACACCTGACCGAGATCCAGGAAGGCTGTCAGGGCATTGATCTGCTCCCTCTTTGCAGGTTCTCCACCAAAGTTGTAGGCTGAAAATCCGGTTCCACAAACTGGGGCAGATCTGAACGCAGGGAGGCAGCTGTCTGGACCGGTAGGCAGGCGGGGGTCACCAGGAGGGATCTGGATTTATGAATGAGTCAAAGGTTACAGAAGTGAAAATCACTTCTGAATATTTAGGTTTGACTTGTCACACTAACCGGAATGGGGATGCATGGCTCAGTTTTCTCGCAACTCTCATCACAGTTTATCCCGCTGCTGAAAGAGACGATGCTGGGGGAGAAGGGCGTGAAGGTGAGATCGTGGTCATTCCACTGCCCAAACAAGGTCACCATGTGAGTGAAATCTGAATCGTTCACCACGCCTGCATCCGATGTGCTTAGGATGTTGTTTGACACTTGACGCACCTGAAAAGACAGGAACCGTATATTCTTATTTAAAATAATCATTTATGCATAATAGCTAGCTAAAGAGAGTGTGTGTGATTCCAAGGCTGTACCAGTGGGAGCATGAAGTTGTTGAAAGTTCGGTTTACGTTCCAGCCTTTCGGTTCAGCTATGCCGTCATCATACTGAGCAGGTAGCCACCGAGCAAATGGTGTGTTGGAGGCTCCGAAACGAGGGTTATTTCTAAACGTAAGCCAGAGACATCAGGTTTAGTAACGCTGCTTGACAAAACCCCAGGAAAGAGTACACAACTTTTTTTTTTCGTAAATTTACAGGGACTTTTCTGTTCTGAAGGGCAAAAAATCGAAATAGGTAACAAAAGTTGATAATGTGGATTAGATGAATACATGTGTTTGCTGTCCACAGTTGAGCTAAAGTCAAGATACGGGTAAAGCTGCTATTACAATAAAGAAACAGTATCAAAAACATCATGGTTTCTCATTTGAAAGTTTCTCTTACACGTTGTTGCAGATGCTGCTGGCTGTGCGGTACTTGTTGAGGTTTGGTGTGGTGCGACATTCTGGAAAAGTGACTCGAGCCGCACACCCAGTTATTTCAGAAAGGCGTCTCAGGTCTTCTTCAGTGAGCAAATCTGAAAAAATGTAAAGGAAACCTTTCACGGACTAACAATGTATCTGTATGTCTAGTCATTAATTATAGCTTTGAGGTGTTTGCTTTAGCAACATTAAGAAACCCAACACCTCAGAGCCTCAACAAAGAAGGGGGAAAAGTTTTCACACAAAAAAAAAAAAAATCAATGGGAGGACTGTGTATGTCTGTTTGTGTCCTCTTTGTTTGGTTGCTGCATGTCTGACCTGTTGCATTGAGAGAGCGTTTGTGAATGTGATGTGTCCGCTCTTGCAGCAGACGGAGGGTTTGTGCCATATAGTCTGCAGATCTCACAGCTAAGCGAGTATTAGCACGAGGCTGCTTGAGGAGACGGAGAGCATCGTGAGGGCGCACCACTGCCTTGCGAACTCTTCTCAGACTCCTGAAGGACAAAAAGACCACAGGGTTAAAAAAAAAGAAATATATATATATTTTTTTGTAAATTTTTATTTAGGAACATAGTTTAAGAGATGCTAGCTATATATATATATAGATATATATATTTCTTTTTTTGATTCACTTTCTACTATTCTACTTAAACTTTGAGACGTTAGATTACAAGTTAATCATTATTTTCTTCCTTTCTGTAGCTTTAACTAAACAGACATACCCAGACCTGAATTTAAAGAAATGCATTAAAAAATTAACTGCCGACTGCCATGTTTCTAAAACACAACTGTGTACCCTTAAGCCATTTGTTTTAAATATCTCACACAACCAAACAAACTCACTCTTCTCTGGAGTACTTGTAAGCACCATCCACTAGTTTCTTCGCGTCCTCAAAACACTGCTGAAGGAGAGGACTGCCGAAATTTTGTCCTGAAAAGAATACAACAATCTGGTCAAATTGTCCATCAGTGTCAATACCAATATAATTGTATAAATGTAGTATAATGTAGTTGATGTACCTGATGGTTTGGAGTGAGCAGGCACCAGGCACAAGCCCAGCAGAAAAAGAACAGAGAGAAGCATCTCTGGAAGAAAACAAATCTAAACTAGCATCAAAGGATAAAGACAAAAATACTTTTAAAGCACCATATTACATGAATAAAAAAAAACAAAGAATCTTGATACCTGTGTGTGAAGAAGGTTGATTTTAAGATTTGAGATGCTCTTGGAGATCTGCAGCCACAGGTGTTTTGTCTCACATTTTCACCGTCCTTATATTCAGTGCAAGGCCCTGAGGCCTCGCCCCCGTGGTTGTCCAGGTGAAGCTACTGTCAGTAAAAAGCAGTTCCTTCTTCCTTCTCTCTGTGCTGAAGGAAATCCTTCATCCTTATCAATTTTTATCTCCGGCAAATGATTGGACCGATGTGATCTAGAGGACTGTAGATTAAGTGGTATTCAGTGTGCTTTAGGAATGCTCAAATAGTGAGAAGAGTCCATGCACAATCAGTTTTGTTGTTTTTCTGAATTTTAGTATGAAGCGATTAGACGTAACAATGTGCTTATTTTTTATTATTATTTTTCACACGAATGTGTTCAAGGAGCTTTGCAATCAAGTTAAATGTTTTTTTACTCCTTTATTCATAGTTGACAGTTGAAAAATTACAAGATTAGGACCGTTATCTGGCCCTTTTTTTTCACTTGTTCACTGATGTTGACATGTTGCGGCTTATGGCCCGCAGTATTACCACACAGAAACTGATGAACTTGAGAAAGTCTATGAAAAGAGGAACCAATTTACACTCATTCCTTGTGATAATGATCACAATATACTGCACAGGGAAAAAGAAGAAAAAGAAGTTAATCTGAATAGAAAGAAAAATGGGATAAAATGTTATTCTTTCCAGAGCGCTGGTAGCATAGTGGTTATTGTGTGCCCATGTACAAAATCTTACACGCGGTTGGAATCTGACCTGATGCTCATTTCCTGCATGTTATTCCCCACTTTCTCTCTCTCCCTATTTTCCAACTCTGTCCACTGTCCTGTCTCAACCATAAAGGCACCAAAAGCAAAAAAAAAAGACTTTCCTTATGGCAGATAAAATTTAAGAGTTCCAGTCTGTGCCTCATAAACTTAACCACATAATCAGACAGGTAAATAAGCGATAGGCTGTATATGTGACAAATGGTTGTGCAATGCGGAAAACGTACAACAGATATAAACCTAAATATAAGTCTGTCTTGAACCTTTGATTGCTTTTATAGCTGACAGTCAAAATGGTCACAGATAACAAACAAGGAACCGAGCTTTGGGAAGTCCATTGACCCATGAAAAGCCTTCCTCATTGCTTAACACGCTCTCTCGCTCACTATCCTAAGGTGCTTGAGAGTGTTACACCATCTATTTTGTTGTGGTGTCATTAAAGCAGTACAATGAAAACAATAGACACTGAGAATATCCCCTGGCTTTCCTTGAAGCAAAGGAAGGTTGAATGATGATTGTGCAGGTCAATGAACATGCACTCTTTAATTAAAGCGAAAACTTTCAGAAAATTAAAATACACTTATTTTATTTATTTGATAAGTGGATTTCTTGTAAAGAACAATATGATACAATTATTATATTTTCTTATTTACATGCATTTACATAATTTAGTCTTTTTTTAATAGACTGCAATGCCACATTTGCTACACGCACAGGGAAGTTGCATTAAAGCCCATTTCATTGTGAAGGAAGACAAAAAAGCAGAACGAAGCTGCAATGGCTGAAACAGTGTTAGTCAATGTCATGGTGCAGCAAGAAATCCTATTTCTCAAGCCTGTTGGTTGGAGAGCAACCAATAAAAACAAGTTGTTTGACACTACAGGTGCACTGTTGAGAAATTCAGCTTTCAGCAGCAATTCTGCACAGTCATATGCAGGGGGGCCGCTGTGGCTCAGTGGTAGAGTTGGCCAGCTATAGATCCCCAGCTCCTGAAGCAACATGTCCGACGGTTAATACTGATGGGCACTTTACATAGCAGCCTTTGCCATCAGTGTGTGAATGGGTAGGTGTGACCTGTGTGTAAAGGTGCTTTGAGTAGTCAGAAGTCATGTCAATTTGCAATATGAAGACATTTTTTTATATTTATCACAACTGGAGATTATAAATTGTTATGTTATAGGTTACAGAATTGCCTCTTTAGGCTTTCTTTAGTTCTTAATATATGTGTGCTCTCAACCAGGAAGCTGATGTTTATTAGTTTGTTAATTTGTTGATTTAGAGCTGGTGTCATAATGATGATTGATGATGCCCTGTCTATTTTGACAGCTGCCTGATGAAGGTCTAGTACTGAAACATTGGCAATCAATGTTTGTTAAAAAGTTAGATAACGACACATTGCTCTCCTATGCAGCTTTCTTATGACATGGATGTACAAGGGTGTTTTTTTTAGTTGATAATTATTAATAGATACAAATATCAGGTTCTGTAAGATTAAACAATGCCTCATAGTTCTGTTCTTGTCAGTGTAATTCCCCATAATCCAGGAAGCACAATTGTATTGGACAAGGTATGAGTCAATTATTCCATGTACGATAACAACATTAATTCTAATAAGTTTGACAATACAAACCTGACCTTTACTGTGAACATCAGGAAGCTGGATATTTAGTACTGGAGACGATAAAGTCAAGGCGTCTCCATCTAGACAAGTCACGCTCAAACGAGTTGTGAAACTGAAGGAAGTCAAATTTTATGCACACATAAAAAATGTAAAAAAAAAAAAAAAAAGCGCAGAAGCTCATAGATGTACCTAATATCTAACTGCTTTTTAGAAAAATGTAGTCCCTTTAATAGCTTTGTGAAGCAACAACAAATGCATTAACATGGCCTGAGTTGAAGGTCAACAAACGTATTGTAGTTGTAATAGTCTTGCTACACTTAATGTAAGTTTGAGGAACAAGAGGTCAACTCTCGGTTTATTTTTGCACACAATTTCCTTGTTTCAGACAAAGCCAAAGTTCTGTTCAGAGAGGAACAGGTCTGCTCTAAAGACTATTTTCTGTGCAGAGCCAACAGTCTGAAATGAAACATTTTGTTTTCAGAAAAAAACACAAACTACATTTAACAAAAAAGAAGAACTTCTCAACCTAAACTTCCCCAGGCTTCACTTCACCTCGGTGTCTCCCTTCTATTTTTTTTGCCAATGCACCTGTCTTGGATGGCAGCTTTGAAATAAATAAACAGTTTAAAATTGAAATACATGAATACAGTAATTACTGCTTTGGAACATTTTTTATGTTTAAAATGAAACAGCACAGGGGAAATGGCCTCAGCTCCCCCCCCCCCTTTTTGTAGGTGAATTAATTTAGTTAAAGAAAAGTTAAACAATTAACAACTTGCTACTGAACTTGCAGATTTTGTCACAAACACTGGTCCAGGAGGAAGAACTGATGAGCAGCATGCCAGGATGATTTCACAAGCTCAACTTTGAGCGACAAGGAAGAAACTCAGGCAGGAACAAAAAATGTTCCCGTCCCATCCACTGTTGTTTCTAGACAACGATTGTGACGCCAGGTACTTGGATCATTCAATAGCGCGAGGACACAATGCCAAAAGCTTTCTATTGTCAGCCTCGTCAGCACATCGAGTTAGTTTTAACGTCTCCTAAGTTTCAGACACTTATCTTACATGCTCAACAGGAAGAACAAGTCCATGTTGTAAAGTCATCACATAACCTACATCAAAGCAGTAAACAAGGGATCATTCTTGAGTTTATTACTACTGTTACTGTAGTATATGTATTTACAGTCATAAGGAGAGTTGTTCAAGGACTACTGCAGAGTTTTGAATTACTGGAAATGACACACTTTTGATACCATAAACTAGTGCTCATAAAGATAAGATAAGAGACTTGTTCTACTAACTTTTCAAAACAAAATAAATTATGCAACATGTTAACCTAGTTCACCTTTTTTGACTGCACATCAACAGCAAAAATGCAACTTGTCCTTATAAAACAAGTAAGATACACAGATAAATATGACAGATACCAACATTAGTTCCTACTAGGACGGACTCCAGAACTTTTAGTTGATAAAGGGAAAACTACAACCTTTCATTGTTATATCCTTATGTCATATGTTGTGTAAGATAAGATTGACTGAAATCATGTCTGGTTGACACAATATACAATGGAGATCAAGTCCACAGACAAAAGTCAGGCTTTTTCTTTGGCAGAAAGTGTTTCAAGACTTTGGAACCATTCTCGGAATACATTTAGATTTGTTTAATTAAAATTAGCAACCTAAAAAGTATATAGTCGGGGTGAATCTTCTTTAAATTCTAATTTTCTTTTTACTTTCACTTCTATAGTAGGACGATGAAGAGTGTCCAGGATATGGGGGAGGGAAGAGTGGCAAAGTGTAGAGGGTCTGGTCTATTGTGTCTGTAGCCTTTGATGTGGAGATCCTGCCCTGCCATAAGCGTCCCTTTTATTATGCCTTATGAGGCATTTTCAATGATCAAAGATTGAGAAATTTCATTAAAACCCTGCATGTCACATAACTTGTAATCAGTTGCATTATGATGACCTCAAAAGGTCCCTGAGTAAATGTTTCAATGAGAGAAGAATACACATTGGGCATAGCAGCAGGACAGACACAAAAAAAAAGGCAAGCTGCATGAAAACTTGGAAGGTGCTGAGAAAGATCAATGTTCTCTCAAACAAGACGGACCAAGCAGAACAGTTTGTTTCAGGACCTGAGCTGGTAACTTTTCCATCAGCATTTCCATATGAGAAAGACCATTTAATAACCTTGCTGCATTTAGGATAATCCATTTGTTTAATTTACCAGACCTTTAATGTACACAAAACTGGGTCATGGACACCGGTTTGATTAAACATACAAAGCCTCTGGATGCAACAATAAAATACACCCTAAACAACCCAAACCCAAATCCTTCCTCCTTTAGTCTGCCATCATAGATCCATAACATTGTGAATGAGAAAACACCCCTTAACCCAGCATTTTTTAGACTTTACTATAAGGACATGACGTTGTTTTAATACTTACATGTTAACCTTTCCATTAACCAGGGAATTTAATTTACACCTGACACCTGCTCCATGCAGAGGAATGTTGGCTGTACTGGATGAAAATTTCATGTCACCTGCTGCCATGAGAGCTTGAACTTTCTGTTTCTCCTAGATAAATAGATACTTGTAAAATGATTATTCAGGTGAAGGATGTTAAGGGATTAGGGTTTTAATGTGTTTTAATGTGAGTAAAAACATTTATTGGGCTGCTACAGGTGCAGGTGAAGAAGAAAACTAAAGTCAGACTTTGCCTTTGATACTGTTTATAAATACACTGAAGTCATTACAAATAGCAAAAGATCCAATCGATGAAACCCATCATAACAAAACAAACTTAATCTTAAAGGATAATTTCACAAAAGCACATTTTATATAAAGTCCTTTGAGACTTTTGTTCAAAATATTTTGACAGATTAAAACTGAAGATTAAACAATTCTTATAGAAACTTTTTTCACCTCATTGACATTAAATCATTAAAAGATAAATTGCATATTTTTCTCAGGTTTGCCCAGAATGTATTGTATTGAGGATCTTGTAATAATTGGGTGAGCAGTGAGCATACTGCTGTTTTTGTACTTCTCTTACTAGAAGCCAATCTAACCTACTTCCTCTAACCTTTGAAATGAATGGACAAAAATCCATGCTGCTGTTGATAATTAACAGCAAACGTGTTGCCAAGGTAACAATGACAGGCTTATTGTTTGGAGACAGAATTAGCCTGACTCAAATACTGACGATGGGCGTGTGTGCACAAACTCTGGTGGATTGGTGAATCAAAGTATTCATGGAACTGAAAAGAATGAGGTGCCTTAATCAGACGGGTTTAAAAGATCCAATCAGATGTTGATTTAGTTTTGAGCTCATGACTTTTAATGCTGTTCAGAACTGGGACGACTGCACCCAGTTATTTAAGCTCAATGCTGACATGCTTTAAAATGCAGATATCTGAGTACTGTAGTAGACAAATGAACGAAGGATTGCTATTTGCTCCCTGACATTATTCAACTGCATCAATTGTTCAACAACAACGTGTCCACATTCTGGAAAATCTTTATTCCAATTGGTTTATCAGGTGCGAACATTGTTCAAATTCAGAGATGTGAAAAGATTTGCTGATAGACTTGCAACACCTACCTTCAACTCGTCGGTGCTGCTCAGCCTCTAGACAATGGTCAACAGTTCATTTCTGGGACAGTTTCTGTGCACACCTGACCTCAAAGATCCATGTTCTTCCTTTCAACAATTACCCTCGCTATCTGCTCCATCTCAAGGTCCAATTCTCAAAGCATATTGGGCTTAAAATATACTCTTGCAGCCCAAGAGTGATTTAACCCCTGATTCTTAGAAATATCAAAATTATATCCATATCATACCAATGCAGAATTGTTGCCCTTATTACTGGAAAGTTTTGCATGACATACCTTATAAATGCTATAAATACAAAGTGCAACGGGTCTTTGCGACGAAAGTGGCCAATTTTGCCCCAAATGACATAATGACTCATTTAAATACATGCAAACAGCACAGAAGCCATTTGCTCTATATTTGGATAACTCTTTAGGGTTTCATTTAACCCTTTGCGTGTGCTTTGTGAATTAGATGGCGTCTGTTTCATCTCATTTGCTCAGGTTTAGCAGTCGCAAAAGCCACACAATCACTTCAGTGTAACAGGCCCTGATTCTTTTTTTAAGCTGCCACTAGGAGCTGCCAGAGTAACAAGGGACAAAATGATCACTGGTTACAGGATGCATGCTGTGAATAGGGTTGCCACCTTTAAAGCAGAAAAGGTGCAACTCAGTAGGGGCCTGACCACCACTGGCCCAACGGTGTGGGGCACCAGTTGTGGTGAATCATGATTTAAAACGTGGTTTTAATGAAGTAATAAGAGTCATACTTAAAGTTTTAAGTGCTTTATTAGCACTTTTTTTTTCTGAAATAATTTACAAAAACGCAAAACTTCAGTGTAAAGGCAGATACACAATGAAATGCACCTAACAGGACTTCAGCAGATGCTTACTACTAGCTAGGCCTATCTAATTTACAACTTAACTTAAACTTCAAATAAAGTTATTAACTTAACATTAATTCATTAACAGAGTATTATTGAAGTGCTTTTGACACTGCTGTAACATAGAGGGGAGGATGACAGATGTTTAATTAAATAAACGGTACGAATTTAATAGTATTTTTATTCATTTATTCTGTCCTTCTTTCTGTCGTTTTCTCATGATGAATGATACTATTAATGTGGTTTTGAACATTTTTCTTATTGTATTAATTAAGTGTCTACTGTCGATATATTGATGTTGTATTGATGATATCTCGCCCAGGCCATAGTGTGAATACAGATGTGGCTAAAATAAATGTCATCTTGTTTTATGTACTGAAAAATATTCTAACAATAGGCTACTGGAATAACCTATCTAGAAACATATTAAGTAGGCCTACAATAGTTTCCTTTACATTATATTCATTTTCACTGACACTGATAAGCCAGGCATTACTTTCTACTCACGTCTGTATTTCTTTATCCGTTTATGGTGCACGGTGCAGGTATCAGAGGCAGCTGCAGACATATTTCCTTCTGACTCCTATGACTTTCTCTCACCCAATCACTGACGAGCTCTCATTGCTCATGCCAAAAAAACAACAACCAAACAAACCAACGGACGCTCCGAGGAGGCGGGAACTAGCCGTGAATGATGCTGAGTTCAAGGCATCTTGGAAATACAGGAACAAACCGCGTCCCGTACTGATTCAAAACGGGACGCAATATCAAAGTGTAAAATACGGGGGACGAGTCCGTATTTTACGGCACCGTTGGCAACCCTAGCTGTGAAATTAAAAAAAAAGAGCTGCTTAGATCACTTTCAGCAGCATTAGCAGAAAAAGGCATCGTCCTAATTATTTTTGCCTGCAAGTTTCTGATCTTTTGACAGTCTCCATCTGCAATGTGGTTTATAAAGTTGGAAAAACTACACAGCTCCCACTTTAGAAAGTTTCACTCAAGTTTCTGTTGATCCTCGAGTCATCAAAGCCAAGCTAAGAGACTGCTGAATAACATTATCAGTTTTCTTGTGGTATTATTGTTTGAAAGTTCAGGATAAGGCGCAGCTTGACGAAAACTGTGAAACAGGCGTGCATTGGGGATTTCTAAATAAAAGGTGCATATTGAGATGATGATGACTTTCCATCAGTTTGGTTGGATATTTGGTTAGGTGTTGTACATGTTGGAGCCAAAATGTGGGTTTATTTTGTGTCATTACATTTTCCTTTGGTTGTGTGTGTGAAGGCCCTCTACTGGGCACTGTGTGGAGTGCCGTGTATAAAGCAAGGATCCAGGTGAGATGGGACAGGTTGAATGGATCTAAACAGTTTTTCTTCCATGTCAGCCTGTTGAAGTTATCCCATCTAAACCAGATTTTTTTTTATTTTGATTATCGATGTAGTGGTTCGTCATATTTACCTTTATTGATATTAAGACGTTTAAAATAAATGGATTGAAATATCCAAATCACAACAACAATGGACCGGGTTAATTTCATCAATCTGAGCACCAACCGAAAATAGCTTCCTCATTCATCCCTCAAGTGACTTTTCTAGACAATATTGGGTTTGATTAAAATTGGTCACAGTACAAGTCACAGCTATGATACACTTAAGTGGATGTATTTAAGTGGATTCTATTGTCCACAAAAAATGCAAAATGTAATGTCAATATTCACAGTTGAGATTAAACAAACTGAATGTTCACAGTATGTCACACAATGGGGCCGTCACACATTGCTACATATTTTAGTTTTTGCATCTTGGTTTGAGGATATGAAACTTGACTTAGCTTTACTTATTGGTTGAGAGAGAAAAAAAGGTTCCGCTATGCTGGATAAACATATCACACTAGTTTGAACAAACCCCCTCCCCGCAATTCAAACGTGTTTGGTGGGGGCTACAAGGCAGGTGGGCTCTGTCAAATATAAGCTGCTTTCTCAATTCTCTGTACAGATCTCAGGAGGGAAGACGTTCAACTATAAGCCTAAAAAATAACAAGAAGATGGCCATGCTCAAGATCGCTTTGCTTCTCTTCATTTGTCTTGAAGGCTTTGGTAAGACTAACAAGATAAAATGAATGGTAAAATAATTAAGCATTATTCTTATTGATTGAAGATTAATTGATGATGAAAATGTCACCCTGCAGCTCTGACTTCAGCTTTTAATGGTGGTGATGGTTTGCAGGATGTTCCACTTGCCATGGCAGAAGTAAGTGAAACATTAGTGATTTCTTAAAACAGAATAATATTTTTCAAAATAAAACACAAACACCAAACCTCATGCATTTTGAATATGAATTGCAGTTCACAACATGATGTGTGTTTCAAATACTGATAAAGCCATTAAACATGATTTCACATTGCAAATATCAGCACAAGAAAATAAATATTGTGAAATTCAGGGACTGTCTATGAATTACTTTACTCTAGAAATGAAAACAATTGTAAAAGTTGGAATCTTGATCAGGTGTTTTTTTTATGTAAAATCTAAAAAGTTTAATAAAAAAACTTAATCTGGGAAATATATGTAGGGAAGTGCAATATATTTTTCTAGATAGCAGTTAAGTAGCATTGTTTTGGAAAGAAGCATCTGGATTATTTGAAAGCATAGTTATAGTGCGTAAAAAAAAACTACTGGTCATGTGAACTGCTATTTTGAAGGCAATGTGATAGTGATAGGAGCAGTATGATACTTCAATGCGGTGAGTTTTTTTTAGAGACACACTTCAGTTTCTTCGAAATCAGGAAGTGTTTTTAACAAAATACTTTCACTTCGTGATAAACAGTCATACATAAACCTCTCATCTTCTAATTCTGTTTTAAGACTGGAAGAACTGAGGCATAACAAGTTAGTTTACTCTTATTACAAAGGTTGAAAAACAATTTAAAGATTTCTAACCCTTTCCAAGTAGTTCCCTTCTGTTACTCATGAACAGACAGCTAAGAATGAAGGATTTTATTAGATAATGGGGTTAATTTATCTTAATCATGTGACTTTAACTTTATAGAATGGAGACATCTGCAAGGATTGTACCCAAATATTTGAACTTCTCGCTGACCTCTTTTCCAATGCAGACGTCCAGGTGAGTACAATAGTCGATCCAACAGCAAACACATTCTTTGAGATTGATATTTGGTCATGGATGTTATTATTGTTCCTGTGGATAACCATATCCATAAGTCAAGATTAAAATACTGTGCTATCTGAAATGCTTGCTAAGACCTGTGGCTGCATAGTTTTCAATAAAATCAAATAAAGAAGGACCACATTCCTGCACCTATCCACCTGTTCTTTTATCAGTTTAAAAACATTATTCATGTCCAGAGATGTGAATATTTTGCACGCTTGTGTGCACAGACGAAATGTTCACAGCTATTTTAGTTACCAGCCACTTCTTGTTTCGTATGTCAAACAAAAGTTGAAATGAAATTCCTTGGTCGTTTTCATTTCTCATCTGACCTCAAAGATCCTCTTTCTGCAGAGAAAATTTGGTCTCCAGCATTGACTGTAAATAATAACTCTTTATAGTCTATGGTCTACAGGAAGCCCCCTCTGAGGAAACAGGCAGAAAACTAATACTGCTACTTCTTCAGATAGTATTTTAAGTCACACACCAAGAAAGAAAAGTATTACCTGAACTTCACTTTACAATATATTTTGGAGATAACTTTTGGTTTGGGTTGTGTGTAGATGTGAATAATTATTTTGAAAATATAGATATATGATTTTAGCATCATAAACTCTTCTGCAAAGATCTGTTGTTATGTCAAAGTCTCCATTCACGGCCAAACTGCTCCTCTGCCATTCATAAGCCCACAGCTCCTTGCACTTTCTCCTGTTACCAAACTTAGCCAGTTTCCACTTTTAGCTGTGGAGAGCCACAAAGGCGAATAAAATACTAAAATAACAAAATGCTGCTACTTTATTTCGAAAGTCGGAACAGATACCTAGCATAGCATTGACAAGGATACAGAGGCTACCAAGCAAACATTAAAGAAAGTTGGGTTCAATAGCAGATGCTTGTCTTGAAATGTAGTTACTTTGTTGCTTTGACTCCGAGGAAGTTCCTCGCAAGAATAAAAAAACAATGCTGAAGAAACCAATAAGAAACAGAGAGCTAACTAGTTAATGAACAGTTTATGAAACCATTACCAGGCGCGTCACGCGTGCTGAACTAAAAGTGCCGGGGTTATATTAACCTGATATTACAAAAATAACATCTGATTAAGCTACATGCTTATCTATCAGCATATTGAGGAACTAATAATAATTTAGATACTGTCAGGAAATATCTATGTGCCCTTTTTCATACTCAGTATCATCAATATGAGCAGTCAAACTCTTCACTCAATCAGCTGACCTGTTAATTTAGTTTTTTTTAGGGAAGAAGGAATAATGGCACTAGAAAAACTCAAACACAACGATCAGTTTTGGTTTTTGCTGGTGTTTAGATTGCTGTAGTCGTAATTACACCAACACATTAATAACTGGCCCATTGTCTCGACTTAAGAGGACATGGTTTGAATACTATATAGCTAATAAAGTGCTTTATAACAGAAAAAGATCATGGACGCCATAGACAATATCTGTGACCACCTGCCTGGACCGCCTGGTACTGCCAAGCTCTGCAAAGACGAGGTTCAGAAGATACTCCCAGTGGCCATCAACTTCATCACTGCGGCTGTTGTAAGTTGCATGCTGATGTCGTCTTGGCTTGTCAAAATAAGGTGTAAAATAATGTTGTTGTTTTTCTGTATTTTTTTTCTGGTCTTTGTACCTGATCCTGCTGAAAGGTCTCATTTCAGTATATAACACCCTCTATCTTCTTCTGTAGAAACCAGCAGAGCTCTGCAAAACCATTGGCCTCTGTAGCTCCAGCTACAAGCAGGTGATGCTCCGCTATTTTGTCAAGGAAGGATTTCAGGCTCCTGTGACTGAAGAAAATGTAAATCTCAAACTTGAGGAATTCAGAAGATTGCGACAACACTTGAAGTGTAAAAGCTCAACTTTGATCTCTGTGTGCTTTCCTCCCTCTGCTGTTTGTGTCTTTCAATCAGGGGAAGTCTTCAAAACCATGCTCCTTCTGCATCTTTCTTATCAAGACTTTGGAGGACATGCTGCCTAAACAAAGGACTGAGGTAAGCAAACAGTCAAGGGATCAACACATGGCCATTATTATCAAACAGGGTATCTGTTTATTCTGCACATCCACAAACACAGGCATTTAAACAGACATCTAAACGCCACCAGCCAGCACTGCAGACTTTGTGAAAAACATGACGCATGCTCACCGATCTCTCTGCTTCGTCTGCAGGACGCTGTCATCAAGCTGCTGGAGGAGATTTGTCACATTTTGCCCGCCGGCTACCAAGGCCAGTGTGAGAGTGTTATCAGCAAGTTCAGCAAGACGGTGCTGGACGCCATCCTGGGCTACGCAACCCCTCAGGCCATTTGTGCTCTTCTCCACCTGTGTGACGGGCAGGAGGCTTCTGTTGTGGGTCAGTTTGCATCTTTCACTAATACATTCAGGGCTTCATTTTTCAATTACTTGTTTTTTTAACAGCAGATTTCTACTTGTCAAATAATGGAAAAACACAGACAACCATATGACAAAGTCTCTATTCTGAAAATGAGGACCCAATAAGTAAAACTGTGCAAAGGAGTAAGCAGGAAAGGCCCTAAAATTGGTGAACCTAGTGAAACAAGTTGAACCTGTTTGACATTTTTAACAAGGTCCCCTGTGGGAAATTTGCTTGAAAACTCAAATTATATAAAAAAATAAAAAATATTATTTAACCTTTTTTTTCAGCAGCTGAATCCAGCAGGTGCTCACATTTTAAAGAATGACCAATCAGTTACTAAAAAGATTTCTGTGAAATAACAATAGCTTGTATGTTTCCCTCTTAGACCCATGCACTCTGACAACATACAGGTGCAAAGACATCAAGACTGCCCTCCAGTGTGGAGTAAGTAAAAAATGAAATCAAATGATCAACTTGTGAAGGTCATAAATTATCAGTAACGATGACGTCGGACTGCGTGCCTTTTTGTTTCAGACTGTGTTCTACTGTCAGAAATTTGCCTGGAAGCCTCTAAACTCCAACACAATTTAAAATGTTAAGGTAGGAGGAATTCTATTCATTTATATGTGAATCTAAATCAGTATTATTAAAAGATAATGTACCGTTCACTGTTCAGAAATGTCTCAAACTTATTTTTCCAGGATGGATTGAAAAGAGCAAGTCAACATGGATAACTCGGATCTTTCAACCAACAAATATTTAATCGCTTTAAACCTGTGACATTTTTCTGATGGGATTTTTTAACTACTGATAAGATATTTTACTGCATTTTGTAAATCTACATACCGTCTGTGCTGAGTGAAGAAAACAAGGACTGAGTTTGACAAAAGGAATATGAAATTCAGAAATGAATGGAATATTGAAAAGATTTGAGCGCAACTGTAGAATCAGGAACTTAAATGATCATCATGAATGTAAGACACATTTTGCAATTGTTCTGTATAATTCACAAGAATTTTCTTTAGTTTTTTTTTGTAATAGCAATTTACTGTCCTACAGTCTATATAAAGTTTCATGGCCTGCTTTAATGAGTTTTCTTCATTCAGTATTTAAGGTGAATTACCTGAATAACACAAGATGTGCATACACAGTTGGGGGTCTAACTTAAGTGTTTGAGACATCTAACTGAGGGAAAATAAACTACGTTTTCCATCACTAAAAAGTGCTTTACTTTGTACAAAGGGTTTTTACAAGTTTTTCACGCTGCTGTTAAACACAGTGGGTATAGTGTGGAAACAAGAACAGAAACAAATGATAGTTTTGTGGGACTTATTTTAAATGATACCTGGGGAAGTGATCCTATTAGCACCTGTTTACCAACATCTTCTGCATTGTGTCATAATTTGTTACAAAAACCTACTCAGGATATGCAGATTTATTTGTGTCGTAAAGATCATAAGATACAAAAAATTAGGCTGGGACGAATGGCATAAATAAATAGCCAAAAGCAGGGACCATGAGCACAGAGAAGGATGCACTTTATTTGAAGTTTAGAAAGAGAAACTCAACAACAAATAGGGTCCTTGATTTGAATCATTGAATAGGGAAAATGTGCAATGACAGGACAGAAATAAGTGGGAGGATGCTGGGTGGGAGTGGGACAGGGTCAAAAGGTTAGGGGTGATTTTGGGAGGAAGTGGGTTAAAGAAGGCACTTTTACACAATCAGCAACCACACTGACAGACTTACTTCCAGTAATTAAAAAGTATCAGTATCTATAACAGAAAAAATCCTCAAACCCTTCACAGGAGACCATGTAAACAGGCTGGTTTCTCTGTACAACACCAACCAATCAATTGTCTCCTCTGTGGATGAGTAAGAGGATGCAAACATATTGGTTAAAAAAAAAAAAAAAAAAAAAAAAAAATCACCTGTGGGAGAATGTGTTGTTTCATCAGAAGGTCACAAAAAGAGTGGCCTTGAATGCTTTTAGCACAATCTACACAATGGCGCCTATACGAGGTTGTCTGGAGTAAGCGTATGTACCCACAGGGTGGTGCCAGAAGACACAAACGTAAGATAAGACATCAGCAGAGTAGAAAAAAAAAAAAAATCAGTATAATAAATAACAAACAGTGCCACCTAGCTACGTGAGTCGACTCAGCTCCAACTATGTTCTAGCTATGGTTTCCTTATTTCACTCAGGCTTGCAGTTTAAGATTGATGCTTCTCCAGTTGCACATCTATCCTGACAAAGGCCAATACTGTGGGTCAGGCTTAAATCTTGCAAGTCTCACCTAACCAAATGTTTCCTCAATGTATCTGCATTAAAGCTTATTCCATAAACCTGCCTAAAAAAGAACAAGGACAAAGCAAACTTCGACAAACCCTTATACATTTAAAATTGATTCATGTAAGAATCAGACTTGTTCTGCTGGAGTTTGTTTTAAAGTATGAATAGGCTTGTTTTTTTTTTTTTTTAATAAATTAAGTAAAAGAAAATTTTAAACTTCAATCTCAATCAGTTGAAAAGATTGCACATGTAGAAACATAATTTTGGTGACTATCAGAACCTGTGCTAAGCTATAAGTAACATATCTGATCCCAAATCCACAAAAAAAAAAAACCTCTGAATGTGAGACATGGTACTACTGTTCACATCTTCTCAATGAGCAGCCTGTTAGCTCTTTGTCTTGGTCATCTGCTCTCTGTTCGTATGTGTCAGAGAACCCTAAATGTGTGCCACTTAAAGCGCACATTTTCTCCTGGCTTTACCTTTTAGTCTCACAGTAGTCTTACTCCATAGTGTAAATTATTTCAAGTAGTAACTGTGGATAAAGGCACTCCCTCCCCAGAGGTGACAGAGCCTGGGTTTCTCTGTAGCTACACCCAGTGTCAGTCTCAGGAGAGGGGGAAAAGTGTATCTCGTTTTCATCTTGGTAAGTAGAAATTTGACAACTATCATCTGGAACATTCACATGGCATAAACCCACAAGATCATTTACAAAAATGCAGTGGTTTTACAATGCAGCCCAACATGACCACATGGTCATTAGCAGCTTCTGACTTCTCTGTAAAACGTCAGAACAAAAGTGGCCTGAAGGGACGGCACATGTAAGGAAATAAGCAGTTTTAACACTGGACAAGTGCTTTCCAAACAGCCATTAGCCATAACATAATCAGGTTGAATAGGAAATGACTACTTCACTGAGATCCTCAATTTAAAAGCTAAGCAATACTAGATATTTTCCTACAAAACACAGTCAATGGTGGTTAATACTCACATGGTCCTTTAGGAAATCGTCTTTAAATATTTTGTTTTTAATTTAATATCTCGGCATCTGACATACTATTGTTTTGTCCTTAAAATGTGTACAATACTTATAGGTGGAGGAAGGTCAGATTATCATGTAGGAGAGGCTGTGGTGACATGATTGTGTGTGTGAGGAGAAAAAGGAAAGAGGAGGAAGAGGAAGGAAAGTATAGAGCAAAAGAAACAGGTTTATCTGTATTACACCTGCATGAACATTAGAGAAGGGGTTCAGAATTTCAGCGTCTTGGGCACCTCCCATGAAAAGACGTCACGACCAAAGTGACCGTAAGCTGCTGTGCGCTGGTAGATGGCCTTCCTCAGGTCAAGATCCCTGTGACAGAGAAGAGAGATATTTAATATAATGGGGTGCATAACTGTGTTTGTAAGAAGAAAAGTAAAATTGAAAAACGCAGGATACCTCACGATTACTCCTGGACGGAGGTCAAAGTTCCTCATAACAATGCCCAGCAGCTCCTTTTCGCTCTTCTGCGAGGTCCCGTAGTGGAAGATGGAGATAGACAGCGGATGTGCAACTCCAATTGCATAGGATACCTAAACCAATTTATACACAGATTCAAAAATGTTTCACTGAGACAGAACATACATTTCAAATGTTGAAAGCACTGTAAATACTGCACCAAGGTTTTTTTCAAGTAGTAAAAAGTTATTTGCTACAGATTTATTCCAGAAAAATATTCAAGTAATTAAAGTCCTGTTATTTTGTTACTCATCTATAACTGTAACTACTATCCTGAAGTCTACATTGGGTTATGTCTTTAATTCTCTAATATATACACATTTTGGAAACATTGAGGTTAACAAACTCACCTGGACCAACACCCGCTTGCAGAGCCCAGATTTCACCAGAGATTTAGCCACCCAGCGTGCAGCATAGGCAGCAGAGCGATCCACCTTTGTGTAGTCCTTACCGGAAAATGCTCCGCCTCCATGGGCACCCCAACCCCCATAAGTATCCACAATGATCTTACGGCCGGTCAGACCAGCATCACCCTGTCGGAAGACACAGGACTTTGAGATTGAGTTCCTTTAACAAACGGCCACCTTCATATTGTTCCTACTAGAATTGGACAATAATTTAGCTTCAAGGTCAGAAGACTTGAAATTCACCCCTAAACAACATGTTGTCAATGAACTCTAAATTTGTTAAATAGATCTTGTACATTTCCTTGGCTTAACTGTGCGGGTGGGCAAAAACACAGTTTTTTTTTTTTTTTTAAAGATGTTTTGTCTCACCTGTGGTCCTCCAATGACAAAGCGTCCACTAGGCTGCAGATGATATATGGTTTCATCATCCAGGTATCCACTGGGAATCACAGCTTTCACCACCTGCTCCTTCAGACAGTGGTACATCTCGTCCAAACTCACATTCTCATCGTGCTGCACAGAGACCACAACTGTGTGGACACGCAGCGGCACCATAGCGCCTCGATCCTGCCTGTACTGAACAGTCACCTGAGGAGAAAAACAATCAAACAGTTAAGTATAAACTGCAAAATGCAAGCGAAAACTTACGGTTCCTTCTTATCTTTATATTTGTTTAACATCTTTACAAGCAATGCAAAGATGTCATTATTAATAAAGTTTAGTTAAAAAAAAATAATAATAATTGACCCCAAGACTGAGAACTGTGAACTGAGAGTCTGTGGGTTTGAATCCCACCTCGGCCCTTTGTTGCACGTCATCCCCCATTCTCTCCCAACATTTCCTGTCTCTCTTCATCTGTCCTATTAAATGTTAATAACTTTTGATGTAATTTACCTGAGTTTTGGAATCAGGTCGGAGCCACGGTAGTGTTCCATCGCGGCGCAATTCAGCCATCTTGGCATTGAGCTTGTGGGCCAGGACAATTGTGAGGGGCATACACTCCTCCGTCTCATCAGTGGCATACCCAAACATCAGACCCTATGAGAGGTTTAGTTACAAATCACAGCATTGTATGAGGTAAAAGTAACATCACAATGCTGTTTCAACCACATTTCTGGCTCCCAGCTGTGGGTCAAACATAGTCATCAAGTTATGATCCCTCCAACCTGGTCACCGGCTCCCACGTCCTCTTCTTTTCGGTCAAGGTGAACGCCCTGTGCAATGTCAGGGGACTGCTGCTCCAACGCCACCAGCACATTGCAGGTTTTATAGTCAAAACCTGTAGAGCACAATGAGGGACCTTTAGCACACCTGCATGAGGTTCATTTAAAACGCTGACATTTTTGCAAGAAGCTCAAAAGAAAACACTGAATTTCTGTGTTTTTCCAAGAACCCCTCCCCTTCAGCTCAATAAAGCTCTTAACTATTAGGGTCATAAATCATCACTAAGTCACTAATCAGTATATAGGGGAATAAATCCAAAAATGTCAGAGACCACTCAAATGATCAATCACAAATTTAAGAGTAACAGATTACATTTCTTTATTTTTTTGATTAGAAGAAAAACAATTCACTCTTGGTTATTGGCTTTCACTGTATAGTACAGTGGCTTGTCTTGAACTGTTTGGTACAGAATGTTGAGTAAGGTATGAAACTGTAGACATAAGCTACTTTCACATATGCACTCCTAACAATATCTAGACTGCTTCGGTTATTCTCCTGACCTGGCTGTTCACATATGCACCTCACAGCGGGAGACTATCCCTGTCAGACAGGAGGGGGGGGGGGGGGTCTCCTCAGTCAAGACAAAGACGGAGAGGACGAAGCAACAGAGTCTGCTACACCACTCTACATTAAGAATATTTCGCCTTTATATCAATGCTACGCAGGATGTCCCAGCAGTCGCAGGACACAAAAGTCACCACCCCCTCCCACTTCCTCAAGGTGAATTCTCCTGATTATATCTTGATGCATTCTCACATCAGCCCCCTTGGACTTGCTGTGGAAAACATACTTGGGGTCTGGCACGAGAAACTCTGGGTGAAGTGCGAGCGAAAAATTACAGAAAGTATCAGGAGGTTTCTGCAAATGTGAAAGCCCTAATACCGTAATATGCAACTTGAGGACACAGGTTGGTATGACCTGTGTCCACAAAGAGCATATTAAGTCTACTCCCCACACACACACTCAGAATTAATATTCTAGAGCATGAGATTAACCAGGAAATGTTCTGGCAGTGCTCCAGTTGTTGTAATTCAACAGTACTATTATTATCAAACTGTGTGTGGATGTAGTGCAAATGAGGTGAAGTGTGTCTCCAAGAAAGACATCAAAACACATGCAAAGTAAATAACAATAAGTTATCAAATTAATGTTTTTTTTCTATATTGTTTATGCTACTGATGTATCGTGATCGTCCCTACAATTAATAATCAACCTGCACTCTTTATACTGTCTTTTTAGAATATACTGTAGGGTTAAGTGATGTCTGCCAAACTAGCATATTATGATGTTCAGGGCGAAACCATGCAATAGAAGATGACATCCTTGTTGAGCAAATTTTCAATATCCTGGTAACATTACATTACAGCCTCATCTTGTGCCATCTTAGCTGCAGATTGATTGCCAGTGGCATACCAACCAAGCCTTAGACAGGTGTATTATATAATCTAATAGATTCTGTGAAAACACTGTTACATTAAATCAACTCAAAGCACATTACATAACAATGAATCATTTTGGATGATTTGAAAATATTTATCCTGAACAATGCTGAAGTTTGACTGTACGCGTTTTTAAATGCATGAAGCTCAAATTGGAATACACTCAGCAACTAGCTCTCAGGACTGTACCTTTGGAGGAGTCGTCATAACCAATGTGTCTGATTGTGTCCCTGACAACCTTCTGGTAGTCGACGTTGGCCCTAGAGGTGATCTCCCCTGCCAGCAGGATCATCCCCGTCTTAGCAACAGTCTCTGAGGACACAAGGACATTAAGTGTTAAGGATGAGAGTCAGGCTGAGCATTACAGGTCATTAAATCCAAGTAGATTAAAGGAAATCAAGTTCTTCATGATGAAGGAGGTTGAAGTAACAAATGCAGTCTAAAATGATTTTTTACTATTAATCAATGTATTATTCGGTACAGCTATATAGAAATCGGAAATCATGGAAAGAACAGGAAACATTTCAACCACAACGTTGTACAAACAAAAGGTAAGAGAGATTAATTTATGATGACACTCAGAAAATGTAAAATATAGAATTCAATATGAAAAAATCTTCTGATTAAACAACGGGTGGAGTACTATAAACATGAAAAGCAACCATAAATATAACTTTTAAGGGATTGGTGTGGACATACATTTTCTTTTTTAAATCTGAGGCAGAATGCCTTCTCAGGCCGATAGCCTGAAAATGTGTAACAGTCAAGTAGCAGAAAAATAAGTTTTCTATTTATCAGGTTTGCACTCTCAGTGATTGGTAGTGAGGCATTATTTACCACCAGCTATTGCTGGTTTAACAAGTTTTCATAGCCAACAGGAGAGTGTCCCCATCGTATCCGTCTTTAAAATGAATTGACTCACTAATTCTTACTAACAGGTCTACTTTGGTAAACAGCCGAAGGTTCATGTAAACACCATCAGAGCACAGAAAATGTGAAAATAAAACATGCGGTCCATTGAAGTTTTATCAAATTATAATTTCTATCCATTAAACTAGACAGTAATACAAACTTTTTTTAAAGGGGCTTTCAGCCCTTGTTTCTGGAAATTTGCAGATTTTAAACCAGCACCAAACCACTATAATATAGATATTATATGCTAATGAACAATGTTTCCCTCTCCTGATTGTTAACTGCAAAGAAAGCTCCCTGCTCATGTACTAGCAAAAAGAACATGGCAGAAAGCAGTGTTAATGTGCATATGGATCAAAAAGGATTTTAATACAAAATAAAAGAGACAAATTAATCTGCCCATGGGAGTTCGTATGTTAAAGGTTTCGCCTTGTCTCTTGCTGTCAACGCAATTTGTTTTTACTGCATACACCAAAGCTTGATGATATGTAGTTAGTTAATATAGCTCCGACTACAAATTTAATACAAATGGAAACAACACCATCCTGTAAATATCCAGACCCTGTGTACAGACTCTACATTTGTATGTAAAACCTGTAAATAGAGATCAGGAAGAGAATGCAACAGCCCTTTTCTGAAATTCCACTGGCTATGCAGCACAAATTTCCTTTTTATGACAAGTCTATCTTCCCAGCGGCAAATTTCCCATTTTGAGTGACTATAAAAGGTACCAGTACAATTTTGCTGAAATGAGGCAATACTTCACATGAACGATTTTGATAATTCAGGATAAAACAATTCTGAATAGGGGAAACAAAACATGCATTAAGTTTACAACACCACTGTTTTCGCATCATGCCCCTGCTTGCACCATGCATGGCCAAACCACTAATAATAAGCAAAGGCCAGCTGCTGTAGTTTCCCTGGTTTGCTGTCCATAGACTTACCACATGCTACTTTGGCGTCAGGGTCTTGTCTAAGGTGAGCATCCAACACAGCATCACTGATTTGGTCACAGATCTTATCTGAGGAGGAACACAAATATATTTAGAGATGTCTTTTCAAAAAAAGAGAAAATATTGAATAAAAAAAAGAAAAAAAAAAAGGTCATTGTTAAATATGCACAGTTCAAGAAACATATTACGCATTTTTACACTAAATAATGAAACATTTCAAATAAATGTGTGTTTTAACCTCATTGGAAATTAATAATTTCTGACATTCCTTTTTTTTTTTTTGAAGAGCTCAAAGTTTGAAGTAGTTGAAACCTCTTTCACCTCTAAAGAGTTGGATTATTATTATTATAATAATTATAATATTATAATTATTCCCACTCGCATTATTAAAACTGGTTTGGCAGCATACCAAAGGATGACAGAAGCATTTTTAGATGCGTGTAGGACAATTAGTTCACCCCTCTGAAAATTGGCAAAGAAACACTTCAATCACATTATCAGTAGAGATCTACGTAAAGTAGTTATAAAGCATGTGGATGTGCAGCCCCTGCAGTACCTATATTTAGGACCACTGGTAAGCCTATTATCTGTTGTAACCAGGTTGTAACGGAGGGACACCCACTGCAAGACTGAAAACTAAAGCAAATTGTATGAAGCTCTACATTTACTTTTTTTTGTTTGTTTTTGCAGATATATGTTGCTCAGTTTAATGCATCACATGTCTACCTGCACATAAAACGAAAGCAGTCTCGGTATAAAATGTGAGTTTTGGAAAACCTGGTAGATATCAAATGTGCAACGACAACAAACATCTGTCTACAGTCAACATCAATGTAATTTATTTACAGACTAGTTTGCACAGACAGTAAGGTGATACTGTCATGATGCAATGCCACATGGTAGCTAGTAATCCTGTCTGATTTAACAGTAAACTAATAAAGTTATTTTAAAAAGAGATACATATTCTGCAGGATTTTTTGATTTTTTTATCTTTAACATATGATGGTGTAGTCGCATAAACATAACATAACCGTGTAAGTAAAATGAAGGAGTGAACCCCATGTGGAGCTGTGATTGACAGGCACAAACAGTCCCAGCTAATGTTAGCTTTAAGAGCTAGCCGTGTTGTTCTCCAAAAAAACAAACAAAACAAAAAAACACTCCGGCTTGTAAACACTTTGTTGTTCTTTATTGGACATTAAATAATGAGCAGGTCCGCCCCGTGTTAAACAGCTTGGACCCGCTCACTGACTGTGTTGATAAAAAAAAAGGTCCAAAGAGAATGAATGGGGTTACATAGTGGACCAGCTGACACGCCACATGACCTGGTTTTACATGCTAACAGAATGCTATCAGGCTAATTGTTATGGTCAAAATGTTGAAGACATACCAGGGTGTCCTTCACCGACCGACTCAGACGTGAAGAGGAAGCAGTCTTCATCAATGAGCGAGTTGTTATGGAAACCGTTCAGCTGGCCGTTCATCTTCCCCTCTAAACTGTTAGCTTACGAGCTAGCTGTTAGATACTCACACCTGCTTTTAACTCCGTTTACCTGCAAACAAACAAACAAACAAACAAAGGGACCACGCTTGCTTCTGGTGTTTGCTCGTCGGATGAAACGCGGCAGTAGCTCAGACAGCTGTGGTTATCTTGCCCTGTGCAACTTCTTTCCAACTATTTAAGTTATCTCAGCCAATGTTGATGTTGAGCACAGACCACGTGGTGCACCTGGGCGTGGCCTAATCAGCCTGAAGTGTGCCCGAGGTTAAATGACCTGTTTGTAAAAGTGAAGCGATGTTGACTTCTACCCTAACTCAGCGTCACAAAGTAAAGAAGTGCATTTTAAATAAAGGTGATAAAACAAAGCTTTTATATTATTTATTTTAAGGTCTTGTTAAAAGGCTGTGAAAGCATGAGTTACTGCAGGGGTGGGCAACTGGCGGACCAGGGGGCCACATGCGGTTCCCCATCAACCCTCAAGGTGGCCCTCAGGTCAATTTTTACGCATCAATTAATCGGGAACATGAAGAAAACATGACTAAATCTGCCATGAAATCATGAAAACCGGAAGTATGTCCATAATAATATTTGATCACTGGCATATGTTGAGATAAATTGGAGACAAAATTGACTGTAATTGTTTTCTGTATACTACAATTTGGCCCTCTGGCAGTGAGAATTAAATTAATGTGGCCCTTACTGTGACCAAAGTTGCCCAACCCTGAGTTACTGTATCTCCATTACTTAAGGGGTTTTTAGAGGCCCAATTGGGTGGTCTATTTCTTTCTTTCCAGGAATTAAAGAGATTTTCACAGGCTTGATTAACATATTTCTCTCAGGCTATTTGAGGACGTATTCTGGGCCTACAGGTGCAACATAGTTTTGTTTATCCAGCGGTCTTCAAACTTACAAAGTGATTTACATAAGCAAAGAAATGCATTCTAATGATATTCAAATCCATTGTACAGAATGAGTCAAGTAGGAATGAATGGGTTTTGTTTACATGAAATAAGGTTGGGAAAGTATTTTGGAGGCTATATATTTTACTTTATCGTGCAGAGGCTTGTCTTACATAGATTGCCCTTCTTTAATAAGGAATTTGAGGGAAAGCTGTTTAGGTGGCTTTGTAGGAATGAGTGAGAGCTGACCATTTAGACCACTCAGGTATTTTTGGCAGGTATAAGGAAGAGGAAAAGCTGGGTATTCCTATATATTTTGTAACACTGGGTGGATATTAGGATTGTGAATACACTTGGGTTGTTATTTATTTATTTTAGGTGGCACACAAACTGAGGGTACACTTGTATATAAATTGTAAATAGATGTAAGCATTTGTTGGAATAATAAATAAACTCAGAAGAAAGTGAGAACGGGGAAAGGTTTTATAAGTTTGACTTTTACCTGTTCCTTTTCGAACAGTTATTTTTTTCATTATCTTATTTTAATTTTTGGTTCGAAATTAAGTCTTTCATTCATTCAATTAACTTTCAGCAACTAGTTACATGTTAAAAATGTAGTCGGGATCAAGTGGCTTTCTTGGCAGCACATCAGATAAAACAAGCCCAGATGATGATGATGTGTGTCTGCAGCTTGTTTTACCTCTTCATCCTGGCGTCTGTCTTTGGTTTAAGGCCTACTTACTAATCCAAAGAGTGATTATCTTGATTACAAACCTCAGGGAAAACCATGAGCTGTGCAAACAACTCAAGCCCTTCTTGTTCTTCATTTCATGCATGGCCAACTTATTTGTATCTGCTGCTGTCTGTATCAAAGCCTCAAAGACTCATTACATCATTATGTAGAGTAGAAAACAAGTCTCTGCACACACTTCAACACAAATATACACTTCTACCTGACAGTTTGAAGCAGTGTTTGTCTAATAAACAGTATGATGTAAGTTTGTTCTTGTTTTATTTGCACACTCACACAGTTACACGACACTGTTTCCTTAAGCAAAATAACCACATTAGCCTAAACATCCTTTCATAAAACTCTATAGAACAGGGACTGTATTCACAAAGCTGCTAAGAACAAGAGCATTAATCTAAAATTACTATTCAAGTCACATGATCATACGTACATTTTAGATTGGCAGATACGTAGAAATGCTCTATCTCTCTTCTTGGACACTTTATTTATTCATTTTATGAATACAGACCAAGAACTATAGAGGGAACATTTTTAAAACCATCATCTAGTAAATGCATGTTTCACACATTTATGTTGTAACACAGAGGCCTACATAAACACACACACACACACACACACACACACACACACACACACACACACACACACACACACACACACACACACACACACACACACACACACACACACACACACACACACACACACACACACACACACACACACACACACACACACACGATCCAGGGTCCTTATTTTAATATGAGACTGTTCACAAGGATCCTTATTGCTGACAATAAAAACTGACCACATATCCATCACAGGTTTACTCTGACTTTGGTTTCACATTCAATATGTTTGTTTACGTATGATATAGCTTATGAGTCTATAAAAGCACTTTATCGGGAGTCTGGACACATCTGTGACTCCCTGATACACACAGTGTATGAGATTGTGAAGATGGGAGATTCAGAAACAGAGAACTGCAGGGCTACAACGCGGAATGTTTGCAAACTACATTAGAAGTCTTTAAATGTGCCGTTTCTACGAGCACACCGACTCCGTACGATCAGATCAGAATCCTAATGCATGGATATTGCAGTTGTTCTCCTTGTTCACCACCCTTTTTTTTTTCCTTTTTTTTTTTTAAACCTGGTTCCTATTTTTCCATATTTTGCAGACTCCATGACAAATAAAAACGAAAAATTTTCGATGCCTTAAATTGCATCATCTAGCAGACGGAGAACAGGCTCTAATGGCTGCTACAGAATCTTTTGGGGAAATGCGCAAAATCTACATAGAGCCACTTTTTTTTTTGCCATAAAAAGGCTCATATTGTCTGACTACATTACAGAGAGCATCCCTACAGAGACAAACCATTATGTGACAGTATAAGAAAATACTTTTCAAGATCAAGAACAACTGTAAAGAAAAACAGTGCTTCTAGCTTGCAGAACACAGTGGTTGCTGGTCTTCTGATGCCTTGTTTGATTAGTTTGTTTTTGTGGGACTTTGGGTTATTTAAATAGTAAACTAGCAGGTCTAACTTTCTGCCAAATAAAATGATTTGTTAGTTAACTGAGTCCGGAGGCTCAGAAGAGAGCGACGTAGCGGCTGTTTCCTGTTTGAAAAAAGGCATCTTGTGCTTTGACAAAAGGTTCAACTCTGTAGGGATGCTTTCTGTGATGTTGTAAGACACATACAATAACAATCTCTGCATCTCAGTGGTAAATAAAACACTTTTTGTTGACACACTTCGATTGGGTTATGTGCCCCAAAGGAATAAGTTTCAGCCATTAAGGCCTGATTCAAGGCTGCTGGCTGAAGCAATCTTCTAAAGCAAGCCAAAAAATTGTATAAATTTTTCGTCATTAACACCTCAAAATCTGTAAAAATAGGGCTTATGTTTAAAAATACTGTAATTCCACTTTAGTTACTGATATTCTATGCATTGTCTGTTTCTCCTGCTTTCCCTATCTGTTTGACCCCAGTGGGGCTAACCTGAGCTGGTCTGTGTTCACCTATGATGGCCGCGATGAGGGCCTCCGGTGCAGTCACCCCACCTCCTGGAGACACAGGGCTGCGGGGGCTGAGCGGACTGATGGTGGGAGACTGTACAGTATCGGGGGAGACCAGCCGCTCCTTCTTAGCAACAGAGCATGGAGAGCGGCTGTGGGACTGTCCTTCTTTGCAGCGAGGGTGGAGGCTGAGGCCCTGCAGGGAGGGGAGCGGGTTGGAGGAGAGAGCTGGAACAGCGGGGCTGCGACTGCGACGGTGGCGATGGTGGTGTTTGCCGTTTTTTGGGCTAGGACTGCGGGAACACGGAACCAGAAGGACCAGAGTGCTGTCGTCTTCTGAGCTGACATCTGAGCTGTCAGAGCGACGACTGGTGGGGCTGTGGATCGGGATCTTGATCTGTTTAGAATGAGGGATTCAAGAGAAAATCAAAATCAATGCTGTGATGAAGAGGCATCTACTACTGTATATGACTGAGCTGAAGTTAATTCAAGCTGATGGATTTTAGGTTGAGCAATGTATCATATTTTACTGATCATATGTTACGCTGTACAATCAGAATCTGCACAGAGAGTAGAAATCAAAACGTACAATTGAAGGAAAAAAAAAGGAACATTTCCTACAGAAATGTCGTGAAATAAAAGTGTAAAGTAGCAGAAAAGCAACGGAAGAGTAGTAACTAATTTTCAGAAATCATTTAGTCCATAGAATGTTCCAAGCTAATACAAAGTGTGTTAATGCAGTCTACTCACGTAGAACTAAACATTTAAATCCTTACATCTGTAATGAGAAGATTTTCTTTTCTTTTTCAACATCCAAAAAAGCTGTCAATTATTTTTAGTTGACTCCCTTAGTTATTAATCCACTTGTAATTTCATCACTAAGGAAATTTAGATGCAATTTCCTCCATCGATAGAGTCTGAAGTTGAACTGGCCTGGCGTGCTTAGAGACCTGGTCCCGTATTCACAAACATTCTGAGAATCCTCTCAGAGAGCTCCTAATTTAGATTGATGATTGAGGGGAACATTGAGTACCAGTCAGCAACAACAGTAGCAGTCTTCACTAATGTCAGAAAGAAGCCTAAGTCCAGTGTTCCAGGCACTGCAGGCGTTTACCTGCTGAATATTTTTAATATTATTCGAAGTGTACTATGACGCTCCTATTTGTTGTCTGTTGTGCGTAGGTCTCGTGGCCCTTTACTATGAATTCCTTGTATTTCTAATCGATAATTCTAATGTATATCATTCCTTGCTTTGTATCACATGATCTGTCAGGTGATCTTAGAGGTTTTAAATACGTAGAGGTGTGTCTCCTCAGTTGTTCATGACTGACGACAGTCCAGGGCCTGAAACATCTAATGTCAAATCTCGTGAAAAACTTCTGGGAGAGTGCATGTGGTTAAAGCAGCAAAGTAATGACCATGGAAGAATGAAATCTTGAACATTTACATGTTAATCTAATGTTTGGATGTCCACATACTCTTTGCCATACATGTAAGTATGAATGTACAATAAAAAGCAGTGAGATGCTTTTATTACCTGAATTGATGTTGACAATCCAACGATACTGTTCATGTTGTTACTATAGTAACCCAGCATGTATTCACAGTCATCTCTTGGTAAATCCTCCTCTGAAAATGTCACCTGTTGAGGAAAGGAAATTAAATAAATGATCCCTGCTTCGCTGCCTTCACAATAAATGTGTGACTTTGAGTGTCTGCCACACCTGAGTTGTATGCTCTCCTTTGACCCATATGTATGCCTGATAGTCTTTGTGATGTCTGAATCCCACCTGTGGATAAGTAACAATGTTATGAAAAAAATTGGCACAGGGCATTCACATATATCCCGAAGCTTTTGAGCAAAACAATGACCTTGTATATCGCCACCCAGTCCCATGAGCTGCGCTGATAGGTTGATGCAACAGTGAATCTGACTGTGGCATCTGAGACTCTACTCCAGTCCTTGTTGACCTGCAGCTCCACCAGGGGTACCTCCACCTTGAATGGGAACTAGAACAGAGATTGAAGGAATTTAATTTAAAAAGTAAGTTCATAGATTTGGTTGCAGCGTCTACGGTAAGGATATGTCTCACATGGAGAGAAAATGTCGCAGAAACAGGTTTGTGGTCACTGATGGTGAAGCCCATGTGACTTCGGTACACATGCTGCGTCACTTTGGTTGCCCCACCTAACCAGGAGGTCAGACCTCGCTGTAGTGCTGCATTGTGGGTCGGGACTGGGGAGCCGGTGCGACGGAGGCGCCAGAGGATTCGATCTGTCCAGGCTGGTTTCCTCTTTTTAGCACTGATAGAAAAGAAGTAAAAGAGATTTTTACTGAATTGAGTCTGATGGAGTGAGTGAGTGATGGACACTGGACTAACCTGGTGTCGTATGTATGAGTGCCCACATCAAACTTATATGTAGGTGGGAATTTGAGTGACCCCTCTAAGAAGCCCTCCAGGATGGACTCTGTGTTTTTAGCCATGTTGAGCTGTGGAGACAAAAAGTGGGAGAAAAAGAGCTGGTGAGGGAGGGTAGTTACAGTATATTCACATCACTGGATCCTAAATGTTTATCTCTATGACAGCAGGTGTTGTTCATCATACCAATCCTTTCGGGTGATAAATATCCAAACACCTTTCATAAAATGAGGGAACAAAGTGATAAAACATAGTAAAACAAATAGTACAACAAAAGCCTTACTTCACTGTTATCAAATACCTTAAGACATTATAAAGAAGTGCATATGGCATCAACATCCTCTACACACAGAAAAGCTAGAGAACACAAATTACAAAAATTTCACACACAAGTGTTTGGGATCATATCTATGTATCTTTTATGACAAGTTTGAATACAGAAAAGCAGTGAGGAGAAGTCACATCTTGTTGTATTTTCCAAAATGCACTTTTCTTTCCCTTTTTTTTTTTGTACAGATGTAGTGTCCAGGCTTTGTCCAGGTCCCATACCAAGATGAATTTAATTCACCCTAAGCGAAAGGTAAACTAGCAATCCAGCGCCCTCTGCTGCCCATGGTTGGTGATCAAGAGAAAAAGAGGTGGTGTTAAGCCTTCCAGAAAATTCCACCTGTGCAAATAAAAAGATGCCTCACCTGATCTCGCTCCAACAGAAGAGGCAGCTTGTTGCTGTCGATGGCACATTTCACCACATGGATGTCGTAGTCTTCAATACGGAAATTTAGATCACCAAACCAAAACACAACACTGGGGAAACAAACGAACAAAACAAAAAATACAATTTTTATTTAAAAAAGGACGATTTTTTTTGTTTTTATTTGTTACAATTATTAAACCTACTTTAACAATGTTCCAACTTCGTCAGTATATTGAGCATTAAATATAGTGTGTTACTTAAATCTCCAGACATACTAAAGATCAAATAAAAACACTTTACAGATTAATGCTGCAATATGTCCTCCTAAAATGTTCATAAGCTCATAAATTAAACTCTTATGTTTAAATGCTGTCACCCACTCGTGGTCCAGTACACCCGTGGCCAACCCTCCTTCAAACTGCTGCTGCTGCAGGATGCTTTCAAAGTCCTCCATCCGCTGCTCCAGGTTCCTCATGTGAGCCGGCAGGTGACAGTTGAGAAAGCACACCGGGTGGCCAAACATCGTCATCCTGGCACTGACGCCACCTTTATTCCCCTGAGGAAGAAATAAAGGGAAAAGAGAGAGAAATGGATACAAAACTCCAAAGTCAGGGGAGGACAGAGAACCAGAATATTGAACTAAAGTAAAAGTTAAAGTTCAGTTACTTCATTAAATATTACTTAGAGGTAAAATGACTGGTCCAACATTTTACTCAAGTAAAAATAAAAAGTAATTCTTGTACTTAATGTACTGACAACTATGTTCTTACTTTAATACCTGATGGGCGGGGTTAAAAATTAAAATAAAATCTCTCCTTCCTGTGCAAAAATATCTCTTGCTATGATCCTTAGTGTTTCAAAAAATATGTATAAAGTGCTCCATAGGCAAATCAGCTCTACTGAAAAATAATCTTACTTCAAAGAAGGACAACAGGTACATTATTATTTCTCAGTAGAAATTAAAGTTAGGAAATGACATTCTTTTCAGTCAACCTATAGACACAATGCACTTGAAGCCAAACTGGCTGCTTAAATATGGCCAAGGTTTAATTTCATTTTTTTAGGCTTACTCGCAACATTACAGGGAATTTCAGCTGGGTCAACATTCCGGTCCCAACTCATCCAAACTCCCATCTTCTGATATGTGCGCAATCAGGCGTCTACTTTTCTGCCATCTATCTGACAGTCATGATGGTGTGAAAAGCCAAATCAACAGGTCTTTTTTGCCCTTTTAACTTTTATTTTTGTTACTAAGTAATGGAAGCTATTTCAATTGTTTCAAAGTACAATACTTCCACCAAAATGTACGTAAGTAAAATTAAAATAACTCAATTTTGAAAAAGTACACCAAGAATGTAATCAATTACAGTAATGTATATGTAATTAATTTCATCCATTCTAAAGCAAAAAATAATAAGTAGGATCATGTATCAACTATATCTGTGTTCAGGGACAAAGTCAGGGTGTTTTTTTGCCCTTGAGTCACAGAACCAAAAAGCCAGACAGTCTGCTGCTGCACTGACCTCAAAGAGAAGGAGACTGCACCAGCAGCCAGGGGTGATGCTGACATCAACACACACGAGAAGGTCACCACACTGACATATGCACCCACACATGCATGTGCCTGTTTGCAAGTGGACGCGCGCGCGCGCACACGCACGCACGCACGCACGCACGCACGCACGCACGCACGCACGCACGCACGCACACACACACACCACAAAACTGCCCCTTCCCACTGACACAAACCCACCAGGAAATTTGCTATGTAAGTCTCAGAGCTGAATTTAGAGCAGTATGTCTCAATGCTTAGCACGTACCCAGTATCCCCCGAGTCCTGTGCGTGTGCTCTGTGTCTGCACGCCTCGGAGGAATGGAAGATGGCAGAATTTAGAGAAAACCAGCAACAGCACTCCCTGCATACGCTGGGACGCCACCTAAACAGATGAGGCGTATAGAAAGTCATTATCAATAAGATAAACTAGAAAATAGAAGCACCTTCAGATTCAACCTCACTGACCAGAACGTATCCAAAAGGACTGAGTGTGTCCATGCACCGCTCACTCCACTGGTCAGAGAAAAGAACATCCTTCAGCCGCTTGTTTATCATGGAGTTGACTTCTTGGAGTCTGTGTGGTGCCAGGAAATTAGAGAAATGTAATTGAAAAGTGGGAAAAAGGCTCTTTTTTTTTTTAAAAAAGGACAGTGATGGGTAACAGAGGCAGACGGAACAGAATGATCACAGATCACTGAGTGGGCACTCCCGGCTGTCTCTCTCTGGCACTGCTGAGCCTGGGAGAAATAAATGCTTACCCGATGATGAACATGTCAACGCTGCCATCTGAAACATTTGGTCCAAACAGAGGGGTTATGTCATCTGGTGGGACAGCAGATCCGACGTTCCATGTGATGATGTACACCCTTTCAGAGGAGAGAAAGCGTGGAAATGCTGCATTAGATGTAAATCCTATAGATACTGTAGGGTGATAGAGGATATAATCTCTGCTGTAATCCTCAGGGAAATAGCTTTCATCAGTGCTGCTGTAAATAGAAAAAAGATAAGCACAATTAAGCACCTCTTTTTACCTCCATGATGACTAAGGTGTGTGAGTGTGTTTGTGGGACTGCTAGAGGAGAGAAGGATATGGAGCAAAATGTCCTTTGAAACGTAACAACCAGCAAAACAGGGACATAACAAAACCAACAGAAACAACTTATTGAGTGACAAACAAGATTTATTTTTATAACTGATTTTTATTTCTCTTTCTATTTATATAAGAGAATTATTGTTTCATGAAGTAGCTAATCAAAAACCTGAGATATTGGGGTGGACAGATGTGCAAAAACTGGAATGGCTGTTTAAGTTTGATGTTTTTTAGCTTGCTAATTTTGTATCAAAAGCTCGGAAAAGAAGACAAGACAGTCTGTTTGATTAGTGTTTCTCTTGCTTTCTTTTTCTGTTCCATGACAATAAATAGACCTACAATGCACTCTACTCTCTGCACAGCTACGTTAGATGTCAGACATGACCAGCCTTATTGTATTTGTTTTTTAAACATTACCTGTTAACAACATTGTTACCTGGTGGAAAAATAAGCTTGTTGTGTTTATCACTTGAGTGAAAACAAATCCTCTAAAGAGTAAAGGGGGCAAACACAAAAAGATATCCAAGGCACTCTGTTCTGTTACAAAAGTGAAAAAGCCTTTATTAATACATAAAGGATAGAGGTAAAGTCAAAACTGTGAGGCCGACCAACGCGTTTCAGCTCAGAGTGCCTTGGATATCTTTTTGTGTTTGCCCACTTCACTCTTCAGAGGATTTTTTTCCACTCAAATGATAAACACATCAAGCCTATTCTTTCATCATATCATTCCACTCTCCCATAAGATCACCTGTTTGCTGTTCAGCTTGATTGAGGACCCACACAGCGCTCCTAACCATTGATGTCTTATTATTAAATTTCTTTATTTAATTATCTATTATTAAATCAAATTTCTCCATTGTGAGATGAATAAAGGATTACTTTATTTGATCTTATTATTACCTGGTGAGATTATCATAACCCGAGGAAATAAAAACAAATACAAAAAAAAAGAAAGAAAAGAAAGTTGTTGTTGTTTGATGGATTACATATGTTACGCATTTGTGTATTCACACCACACTGAAATCGATGGATGTATTTTAAAAATGGGGCATTTTGGAGCCAATAGGCTACAACATGCATGTTCACCAGTGAGCTTTATTGGAATATGATCATATTAAGAAATGTGTCTCTGAGTGTGACACGGGGTCCGGCAAAAGTCACCTCCATCTAAATCTCTTTAGTCATACTTTCTCTTTCATTAAGACAACTGTAAGAGTATATTGTTGTTACCCATGCATGCCGCAAAGGCTTTCATGTATTCTATGATTCTTTCACATATCAACTTATTGTGTATAACTTTTCTGGTCACAAACAGCATCCACAACAATCAAGCCTCTGATGCTGATACACAACAGAGCAGTTCAAATCATAGATATAAAGCTGATAAGGTCATATCATTGTCAATTTATTTTGATCATTTTAATTAAATTTGCTACTCTTTAACTCGTCCATATATGTTTAAACTATCAAGCTCCTCTGCTGCTCTGTGACCTCGTGGTTCCACTTAGACTTTCAGTCTCCTTCAGGAACATCTGAAGGAGACTGTTATGTTTCGTAGACCGTCACTCGGGAAAACAGCTTTTTTTCTTCAGGGGATCAAGGTGTGGGTTATTTTACCTGCAGAGGTCAAACTGGGTCCAGACTGGGGTCATTTTGAAAATCTAATTGAAACGGTTCTTTAAGAGGAATCAGTCTTGTTGTCATGTATGATCTCGCTCTTCCTGTTTTATTTTGTTCTGTTGTATGAGAGTTTGTTATCTATGTCGTTCTGTCTTTTATTGTTGTGCTTGTTTGGTTCGGTTTTCGGTGTATCTGTTGTCGACTTCTATGTATTTTGAAGGCCTCTTTAAGGACGGGCATAGCAAGTTAGCTTAGGCTATAAATGCTTTAGTGTTTAGATTACTTATCCCTATACAAAAAAACATTAAATAAATAAAACAACTATAAAAGCAGCTGATAATAGTATGCATGTAAGAGTCCTGCTACTAAAACAGCTGTGTTGCTCTCTCAGGTTCAGAAAGCTCTTAGTGAAAATGGCAGCTTCGATTCATGTGACGCATGATTTGGCAAACATCAGCCTTCATGCAGCCGCTGACTGCAGAATCTTCTGCAGCTGTATTAAACAAAGAAGACCACGGGGCAGCAGTGACAGCAGAATCTCTAAAACATCTTTGGGAAATTACAAAAGCCAAGTAATTGATTACATGGTTCAGTAAAGGTGTTGTCATATTTCTCACCTGAAGTCCTTGTTCTCTCCTCCGGACTTCTCCGCCTGCACTTGGCTCTGTGTGGAGCTCCCAGGTGAAGCTGCCCTCTGCTGCTGAGGGCTGAAGCCGGATTTGGGGCTGAGGTTTGAGGTGGGGCTGGGGTTAGGGGCCAGGTAAGGCTGGCTGCTGTAAGACTGCGGGCTGTGGGGACTTTGAGGACTGTGAACAGGTAAAGAGGACTCTGTCGGGGAATGCTGCAGGAAGTTAGCGTTCCGAGGTCCTGGGATACAAACTGGGATCAAATCTATTTCCTTGGAGGTGTCCGATGATGGCATCTTAGGGGCTGGTTTAGTTCCAAGAGCAGTCGGTCTAGGGCGGCTTATGCTTGACAGTGGCACTGGACTAGACCCAGATTTTTCCTGTCCGGACTGCATTTGGTCTATCGGTTTTATGGGCACAACTGCAACCTGCAAAGGGCTCAATCCAGCCTGCTTCTTGAGCACCTCAGGTGGGCCGAATGTGAACTGTGGAGGTAAACTTGGACTGGGAGCGATCAGTGTGCAGGGGCCGGCTTGCACTTGTGGCCCACAGGGGTCAGCGCTGATTTGTCTTTGCTGCATGCTATCCATCAACCTGCAACAGGAAGAAGGAAGGTAATCCCGACAGAAGCATGAAAACAAATAAGAGTGTTTAAAAAAAAAAAAAAAATCAAGACAATGCAGCCTGTAGGTAGGGAGAATAAAAATCTTCACCTTGTTTTGAACTTGCCCTCGCTAAGGTCGCAGAGCCTCAGCATCAGTCACATTATACTGACCTTTGGTGCAGTAGGGTGCAACACAGAGCTCCTGCAATTACTGAGGACAATATCACGAGCACGGAACAACTAGCACAAGAACTCAGATCTTTTACTTAAGTAAGTACCACAGTGTAAATAAACAAGATCAAGTTAAAGTCCTGATTTCACATTTTTTCTTTAAGAATTGAATTGTGATGACATTCAATTATGTATCGATTTTTCACAAGGGCCTATTAATGATTAACTATCTCAAGCATAAATGAACTGAAATAAAACCTCTAATGCACTCGTGTGTTACGCTGATGCTGAAGTATTTGTGGGGTTAAATCTAACTCATATCTTTATAACACTACGTCATTTATTAGTTAGTTTTATGAATGATACAAAACTGCAACATAACTAGAGGATGAAACTGTCTGAAAACTATGAAAATATGTGCTCCAGCATTTGACAATTAAGAAGTCGGCCTATATAGCAACATAAAAATTAAAAAAATCAAGAATATAACATTTGCATATTACAGCTCTTCGACTTTTTAATTTCCCAGCAGTGTGCTAAGGAACTAACTTTAGGCCTCCTTTCCTGGATCATACCCTTGTTGCCTAGCAACGTTAATTAGCCTCTGACCCTCTTACAAAGCAAAAGAGAATGCTGTTAGTGTTCATTATGGGATAGTATCACATAGTTAAAGCACTTTACAGCTCACGATTTAACAGGCAGCTGATGAAGATGATGGAGCACATCACACAATGTCAACAGATACTGTAGGTCACGAGGAGGAATAGGGCCTCCCTCCATTTTGTTTATGTGCCCTCCCACACAGAAATTAGACACTTCATTCAATCATTCATGACATGCAAATTAGGATCTCTTTCATGTGATCACAATAGTAACCTCCAAAACAAAGCTCTGAAGTGAAGATGTAGAGAAAAGTCTGTATTGTATTCACTTCAAAAGTAAAAAAAGAAACTTTCAGAGGTTAAATAGCCCAACAGAAAAAAGTGCGCCCTTTTTAATTTCCCACCCAATCATTGATTTCATAGTACATGAGCCTGCACGCCTCAATGACCTCATCTACAAGGTCCAAGCCTAAAAACACACAAAAAAAACCCCCACAATTTTGCTTGCAAAATCAACACAAACGCACCGTAGTAGTGGCTTCTGTGTCTCACTGACCTCCCGAAAACATCTGTCTTACCTTTTGTGCGGTTTTTTTTTTTAATTCCAAGGTGAACCGTAAAGGTGATCTCATAAATTCCAAAGAGGAAGAGCCTCAGCCTCCCTCTGGCTCGCACGTCAATCAATTGCGACTGGTGTGTCACAGAGAGTCTAAGATGGATTTGGTGGTGGTCTGGGTTCAGAGCGACCCATGCAGCAGGCGGGCACGTCGGATGAGCCTTCGGTAACCGGGGACAGCGGACGTCTCCGTCACGGCGCAAAACCGCGCTGTCTGCAGGGCTGTCAGGACAGGAGGCGGTCACGCATAATGTGTCCGGACTCGTGCATGTTGATAATGGACACAACAGCTTATTTCACCTCCCCCTCCTTTATGACTGTCTAATAGCGCAGAGCAGTTTGGCATGAGCAGCCGACTACTTTATTGTCAGCAGCATCCCGGCTGCACCTCCTGCACACCGGCCGTACACACACACCCATCACGCGCGCGCTCTCAGTGCACCTTTTCTCTTTCTCTCTCTCTGTGCACTCTGGGTAAAAAAAAAAGAAAAAAAAAAAAAAAAAAACACTTAAACACATGGTCACCTGAGGGGCGGGTTTAGCCGGAGAGGCAAAGCGTTTCATCTGCTGTCGAAGTGCAGCAAGGCAGAAATAATTGAGCATCTGTCCAATCGGTGACGTATTAATCTGGCACTAGTGCGTCATGATGGGCGCAACTGATCAGCATCCTATTAATTACAGTTCAATCTGACAAAAGTGATAACTGCTCCCACTGGAGCTCTTCGGCAGGCCGGGGCTGGAAACACTATCACCCCATAAAGCAACCATTAAAGTAAACCAGCAATTCAAACTAATTTGAGGTCCGTAGAGTACAGACAATTCTTTTTTTTTTGCGTAAATATTTTTTTCATTTGAATGTAAATATATACTAATCTAATCACTTAAATCGTCCATACATTGGTGTTTTATCATTGCATGCCCATCTATTGTCCCTTTCACTATCCTTTTCGTCTTTTCTGTCACCTCATTTTACTAGACATAAACATTATTTCTTAAGAGAGTAGAGGCTTTTGTTCTATATGCAAATGAGCATGGAAGCACACACAATCTGGAAATAATATAGTTATTAAAGGCATTCTCAGTGATACAGGGCTATTATTGCACCTCAATATGCTGGGGACCTGAAAAGTTCATGTGAAGCTCCCAAAATACCTGATACAACAGAAATCGACTCCATTTATAGTGAAGAATAGTTTGAAATAAAACATGAAAAGTCAACAGTATTAAAAAAAACACTTTAGTTTTCGAGTGATCAGAATAGTTGGATTTAGAGAACAGCTGCATTCATGCTAGTTGTGTGTAACTGTGTCTTTAATATTTACACTCTCAGGCTCTCAACAGCAAGATCATAAAATGTGTTCCCAGCTTGTCTATGGCCCTCACTGGGATTAATGCAGATGTGTAATCTCAGAGGAATGTACTGATCCTAAGCGCCAGCTGTCCACACGGACATCCAGAAGTCCCTGCTAACACACAGATACTGCACACTAGGCACTTTGCATTTATATTTACATGATGCAGCAGCAAACACATTAAACAAGAATCTGTTGAAAAAGGTGCATTAGATTATATTTTTGTCCTTAACCCATGATTATATGTGTGTGTGTGTGTGTGTGTATAAATTGCACTCGCAAACAGATTTTAAAAAGCTTTTTGGAGTTTATGGTCTCTTTTTGGTTTTGACCAGGCCTTTCTCCACCAGGGAGCGGTAGAACTCCTGGATGTACGTGTACACACACTTCCAGTCGGGCTCTTTCATCCGGACTAAGTCGTCCGCGTCCAGCAGAGGGGGGCAGCCGGCCAGCCTCCTGCATACAGAGAGCGAGTGTCACTGACAAATGACACAAACAATGACACAGGACTGTAAAGTCACTTTGTGCTTATCTGCAGTGCACCTCTGGAGCTTGCTTCAAAAAGACATATCTACTTTTTCATGTAAGGAAAGAGAGCTCACTCTGCAGTGCTGAAAGCCAGCAGGAAGTTTTCCCTGGGCTTGTTAGGGTTGAGGATGGAGTACTCGAACGCATCAGGAAAGAACCGGTGAACCAGGGCACAGAAGGCTATGCCATCTTTCCAACTGGAAGAGAAGTTCTGGATGTTCACTCCCTGTTTTACAGCAGAAAGGAAATCACTTTAAGAGAAATGGTGGCTGATAATGAGACATAAGAGGCAGAGCTATGTATAGCACCCCAGGGCAATAATTCACAGGCAAACAGAGTCAGGGCTTATTTACCTCATAAGGCTCTGTTTTGGCCCTGCACCAGTCAAGAAGCATCTGTTTGACATTCTTAGCATTGGGTGCTGCAGCAGGAGGACATTTCTGGGCTGAGGCTACAGCGGGACCGGCCTGACTGTGGATAAGACACAAAGATTAAAGAAATGTAGAAAAGATAGAAAAAAGTAGACAGAAAGTTTGGTTTGCTCATCTTCTTACATAGCCGAGGCCTACTGTCACAAGAAGAGTTTTTTTTCTTTTAAGATTGAAAAGATTACTATTTTTTTTTTACATGGCATTCTGCCGCCCATTGTAAATTCATTCACACTGATCAGACCTGTCTCTTCACCGTCACAGACAGGGCCTTACAGTGGCTTCACTTAATGAGGGTCCCTTTTCAATCAGAATTTCTGTTGTTAATCAGGATTTACCTCACATACTCCCATGTAACATGTCATGTTGCAGAAAGAAGATAATTATACAAGCACGTCTGGGATTAAATGATTGCTTCACCTGCGTTAACTAGTTTTTGACAATGTAATAATGTATAGTTATGAAACATAGAAATGCAAAAATAAGGTTAACTCACCCAGTTGTTGTTCTGTTAGAAGAAGTGGAGAATGTTGGAGAGGGCTGGCTTGACAGCTCTTTGAATAAATTAAGATAAATTAAAAGTTTGTGAGTAAATCTTGAAAATATGACTGTTTTTCCAAAACCGTCTTTAGGAACTTACTGTTTGTAGGTTGCTGCTGGTTCATGGACGCTCTGCCTACACTAACTGCTCCTCCTGCTGTCCCTCCTTTGCTCAGGCCCTGTAGTTTCAAGTCCTGCTGCCTAGACCCTCGCTCCTGCTCCCGTTTATCTGATTAGACATGGTGGATAAGGATTTAGAAGAAAGGCAAAGCATCAGGGAAATGATGGAAGTTTTGTGATGGCGTTCTTTTGCATGGGAGCAAGTGTCAGATTTTACCTCTCTTTTTCTTGAGCAAGTCCCTCAAAGCAGCACGGATCATTCGCCTCTGTTCAAAATCTGCTGCGTTGTCCAACTAAAAATAACAGTAGTCTTAAGAAGAGATCTGATAGAGATCATTCAATCTAATTTTGAAAAGCTTTCTTTCTGTGTATATGAAGAAAATTCCAAGAGAAGCCTCTTAGCATTATCTTCTATTAGATTATTATTATCTATTAGGACCACAGAATTTCTTAACATTTCAGTATTGAGACAAACCTCAGCAGCAGCATGATCTAAAGGCAAATAGCCTTTCATATTAAACGTTTAAGACGCTCTGTGATAATACTGTTTGCATCACATCTGTATGTTCTTGATAGTAAAATAAATAAAAAAATCACTAGTTTACCATCTTATTAAGAACCTCTTCATCCTCAATAGTCGCGAGGTCTTCGCTGGTTAACGCTGCTGATCCACTTTCAGTTTTTGGCTCCATGTCTGAGAAGTAAATATGCTTGAATGTCCCAAAAACAAAGCACTGGTGATATATCCTGCATGCAAATATGTATATATACATTTCTTGAGAATATTTGATCAGAAGAGTCCAGAAAAAACACCAAATCATCCAGAAAAACTGAATTACCTTTACCTCTCACATGTGTGTTCGTGCAACTCCATACTATGATCACAAACTTTATGGATTGAAAACACTTGAAACACGATTTATTTCTTCACACATACCAAACAGATGAGAAGTGTGTCTTGATTGTAAGTGTCACGCAGCATAACATTTCATTGCAGTATGTCAAATATAAACAGTTGTGACATAAACTGAGCTGCAGTGTAAAGAACTGTTTGTCTTACTAAAGTACCTCTCAGTGTATCTCAGCAACTGAGCAGAGAAGGGACAAAAACACGTACAAATATAGTAATGCAGTGGAACAAGACCATTACTAAAAGAATCTGATAACAGTGTAAAACTATGCGCTCAGACACAGCGAATAAAAGAGTTGCAGAAAAGCCTGAGGGAAGAATAGAGTTAAATGGGAAAAAAATAAAGACTGAGTTTTTTTTTGTATGGAGGCCAGTGAGGTGTGGTACAACTCACCTGTCTGCTGGAAGCCAATTTGTTGTGATGCTCGTGGCAGTTTTTCCTGTCTTTTTGGAAGTTTTCTCCCTCTCCTCCACAATCCTCCTTTAGACTTCACTGGAGAGCTGTAAGAGCTCAGTGTCGCTATCACACCTCACACTGCAGCGCTCCGTAAGGATACATGTTTGGAGAGCGAGTGGAGGTTGCTTACATGAACCTCCCAAGATGGGAAAGAGGAGGGCGAGGAGGGAGAGGTCTCTGTCACCCTCGGCCAGAATCTCTCCTCCTCTTGTCATTGCATGTCTGATGATGTCGCATGAATCTTTTAGGAGCGTTCTCTCAGCTGAACTTCATTTTCACTTCATTTGGTGAGAGCTGCAGACAAAACTTCTGTGTGGCAAACAAAGGGTTAATAAGTGCAAAAAAAAAAAAAGTATCTGCAGGCACTGCCTTTTCAGGCAAAGGGCTGCCTGGTGGTTCCCTGTTTACAGAAGAAAGACAGAGGAGACAAAGAACACACACACACACACACACACACAGATTGAGACAACTATATTAGAAAAAAGCATTTTCCAATTTCAATAGTGATTATTTAGCAAATAAAGAAGTTAAGGAAAATTTGTGGCGTGGGCTAAGAAAATCAGAAAGCAGACAAATAGCGCCACCGAGTGGTAAACACTTATAACTGCTTCAAAATAAGCTCATAATGTATGACATGAAGGCTGAATGGGCCTTTGACAAAACAGAAACTTTGACAGCGGAGAACACTTAAAGGAGGTCTGAACTTTAATTAAATGAAGAAGTAGTTACATTGAGAGTTAAGAATGTAGGCAACAACTCAGTAATGAAGTGGTTTGTTGGTTTTTATTGTTTATGTAGCAGTTGTTTTTTTATTTTTATTTGAGCAGTTGAAGTTCGTGTGTATATGAATCATCCTTTTCTTTCCCCTTAAACAAAGTCACTGTAGCTGCTGACTGTTGGCATTCAAAGTATAATCCAAAACATTTGACAAAATGCTGGATCAAATAACTCCTTTCTTCAGTACATCCAAATAAGGCATGAGGCAAACATTTCATTCTTTACCCAGTTTAAACCATATACGACTACAAAACGATAAATATAATAAAATAAACTATTTACACCCCACTAGCTTTGCAAACAATCAAAACCAGTATTTACACAGGAACCATAGGCTTTGTGGGCAGCGTTTTCAGCTCCTCATCAGAGCAACAGTTCAGCCCAACAACCATAATCTGCAGCCAAACATGCAAACTTAAACTGAGAATATGAAATCATGTGTTTAAAAATGATCAAATGATAGCTTGTGACTCACCATGATAATGTCCATCATTCAGGTGCAGCAGTGTTATGTGGACATAAAAAAAAACAACTGTATGAAGTCAGACCTATGGTAAATAATCCCTAAACATGAGTATAACAAGTCTTTTTGAAAGCTGAGGTACCCAGAAATGAAAAACCAGTTCAAATGATCTGTGATACAGTACAATTTGTAACTAAGGATGGCTGAAAAACCATTTATCATTAAAAATATTAAACCAACACGGCAATTTATCAAACTGCAAATAAATCTGGTTTTAATCCATTTTAACAATAATTTAGCTGACCCCTGATTTAAGAAAAATATCAGGATTCATATGATATGCTGCAGGGGAGAATCTAAGATTATGAGTTATGGCACCCTGGAAATATGAAGTTAGTGATTCATTAAGTGAAATCTTTCAGATTATGCAGGCAATTATTTTTTATGGCAATACTATTATTCATGTCATCATGTGGAAGGTGTCTGATGTATGGCTTTGTTGTCTTGTGAGAACTCAAAAATGGACAAGAGCACATCATTTTTGCCACTGACACACTAGACTAAAAAAAAGCTTTCAAAATAAACATTTTGCATACCATACATGTAGGCGGGAGTGTACGGCCACTAACAGACATCCCGGCTTATTCAAAATGCTTTCAGTTGCAACGGCATGCAGTCTTCTGCTTATAAACCCGACTCTTTCTGAAGAGAGTGAACAGGGGAAACCAACCTACATAACACTTATGCAGGTTCAAGACACTTGACGCTAAATCCACAGCATTACAAAGCCAGTGATTATGTCCATCCAAAAATTTATATATTTTTTTACCAAATAAAAATTAAAAGGGGAAAAAAAATGTATTTGTCATGTAACAAAATCACATCAATAAAATGCTTTCTAAATACTGACAGAAACGCATACGGTAACACTGCCCAGCAGAAGTCAGCTGCTCCAGGTAAACAACTTTCAGAAAGTGTCATCTGCAGACTCACACACAAAAGTAACAGATGACATTGTTGAGGATTTAAGAAGCTCAATCTTAATTTTCCCGTCTCTTCAACGGGAAAAGGACAGCTAAAGTTGAGTGACACTCCTTAGAGAACTTGTGAACCTAATTATGAAGGAAAGCTGCAGTGAGTGCACTGTTGTGAAGGATGGAAATAATTGGACTAATTCTACAGAGACCGTCTTATCAAGCTGCTATGAGAACAAAAATCTAGGCCCTTAAGTGGGAAGCCACACTGAGGTTCATAAGGGGGGACAAAACACTGAGCTTAGACCTCTTATTAAAAATGTGCTTCAGTAGAGGAAAGAGGCGTCTCATTGCACAGAAATGTTGGCTTTGTCCATCCTTGTAACTTTAACTAACATCCTGCTTCATATAGCAAAAATAAGCTGCCAAACACCCTGTCCCTTACCATGACAGGGCCGAGTCATTATTAGGTAACAGTACCATCAATGTATATTGTTTTTAAATAGAAAGTGTGCCCATTCAAATATGAAGCTCCCTGCGGTCTAAAATATCCACAACAGCCACCCAAACAGCGATTAGAGCCCTCTGTAAATGAGAACATTTTCACAGTGGAGTAGTATGAGTGTCAGTGTGAATACCTCATGAGGTACCAAACAGTTAAGTGTGCTCACGCATGCATATATCGCTAAAGGATGTTGTATGACGGATTTACAGATGAAGGAGAGAATTTAACCGTCACTGTAACAAGTAAAGGCAACCTTTTCCTTTCTGCAGACTCCATTTCTGTTTGACCACAGGAAAATCAAATGGCACAGCAAGGAGTTGAAATAATAAAAAAAAAAGTCTTTCAGTTTATCAGTTATAGTGACAGTACTGACTACTTCTCTAATCTGCTTGAAAAAACACTTTCCCATGTTAACCTTCACCATTTTATTCTCTCCTTCATCCTTTCAGTTCAGTCTATCTTGTGTTCCTGTTTCCTTTCCGTTCTGTGCTGATGATAAATGGGCTCAGACGTACAACCTTTGTCAAAATCCTCTCCACTTGCAGTATGAAAATCCACATTTCCAGACTCTCTAGCTTTGGCCTTGCGAGCGTCCAGGAAGCTCACGATAAACTCTGAGTTCTGATAGATAAGCATGCCAGACAGAGTCAGCACCGCGCCGGCACAGCTGAGGGCAGACAACTCGCTGCCGAAGAGCAGCTGAGACAACAGCAGGTTTCCCACCACGCTCAGGTTGCCGAGGATGTGCAGAGTGACTGCAGAGGTGAGTGTGATGACGCAGCAGCTGGCCAGGTTGTACATGACTGAGCCCAGGCAGCTGAGCAGGATAAACACCCAGAGGTGGCGGTCGTAATGCAGTGGCGACTCCAGCAAAGCCCAGTTCTCTAGAGCCAGAGCCGCCACGGCCAAGATACAGAAGCTAGGAATGGACATCAGGTAGAGCAGGAACACAGAGTTTATTTTCTCCTCCTGAAGTAAGATGCCTGAGTAAACAGAGAAATACATACAATGGTTACAAACATGAGCGTTCCCTAAGCAAGTATGCAACACTGAGTATGCAACCGCAACACTGAGAGGGAATGAAAATAGTTCATCAAAAGTTAACTGAACACTACAAATGCCCTTTTCATTAAGTTAAACGCCTGAGTAAAAACCTGAGAGACGTTAACAGAACACACTTACTTATACCAAATGTCTGACCTAAAGGTGATATAACTCATCTGATTCAGCAACTAAAAGACCTGCTTATTAATTCTATTATTATGAGAAAATGGAGCATTTCAGCAGATTGTTTAGATGACAGAAGATACCTTTGTTTTATAATCCAAATAACTATGACAGACTGCCGGTTAACAGGAAAATGGAAGCAAGTTATGCAAAACCCTTGTTTGGAAGTACCTGTTATATCCCTGTGTCTGGACATGTGACAAGAAGAACACGCATAAAACATCATGATATTCTTTTTTGTAAGAGCTCCGCACAAACAAACACTATCTAGCTATCTGTAAATACTGCACAGTGTTGATAGACATAGAGCACCACACCTGTGGGAGTTCTTTATCACTGTCGGCAGAGAAAAGTAAACTTATAAAGGGGAACTGTCATAACACCACGGATGCAAATAACTTGCTGAAGCTAGAGACCGCATTGTCTAGCAAGTTTTGGACCTCAGCTTAATAACTGTAAAGGTAGAAGTAAAACGCAGCAGCTTAGGTCTGCTGAACATGAACACATAAGAGTCATGTGCTGTTTGTCACTGTGCTGCTATGCAGGAGCGTTTGGTGCTTTCAACTGATGACCCTATAGTCACAAGCTTGCCTCTGTAACCGTGACGTGTCCCTCTGCTCCTTCAGGTACTAAGAATGTAGCGGTACATTTTTCTGAGGAAACTGAAGACCTGCTTTAGTGTTACGTAAGACAAAAGGCCTCTATATATTTTTAGAAGCTCATTACTTTTTTTTTTTTCTTTGACAACTACTATGTTGTTGAGACTAATGACGTTAAAGAGCCTAATCCCATGCACACAGGAACCAACCAACTACTTAACTTCATCCTTGAGAGCACAGAACATTAGATAAAGGGGTACATTGGATACATGTTATGAAAGCACTACTCAGGCCACATGACACCAATTATAAAGACAAGAATCTGTCTCCTTTCCAGGACATGTCTTAATGACATACACATTAACTTCACTAATGTTATTTCTAATTCTAAAAACTGTTGCAATTAAAAGTCAACATCCTTGTCCCTCTTTTTTCTGTTATTTCTAAACTGTTCAGAGATCAGCATGTCCATGTGTGGGAACCCTGCACACTGTTACTCAAACACAGGTTTTTGTTTATGATATGTTACCTAGGAAACAGCTAAATGTGCCACACAATGTGTGGGTGTGTCACTAGACTGAGGGGTGAATCACTAAAATGTTTCCGGGACTGTAGACTGCT